CAAATGAAAATTCATTATGAAATGCCCATTATGGATCAACTAGACCTCATAAGAAAAGGGATAATGATGATATTTTTAAGAAAAAAATCAACCAATATCAAACATACTGCAACATGTAAATCAAAAAACTTACACGACCAACAGCCAGCACTAAAGTGTGTCCTTCCACTATTTGTTCCTTCCTGTACCTATTAATAACAGCATCCAAACATTCAAATGTCCGTCCACCCATGAGATAGCGAACACCTTTTTTCTCAATACGGAATCGCTGAATCTGATTGTTAATGTGGAAAAAGAGGGAATAGTCACCGGGAGAGTTGTCACTTGGACGAACTAGGAAACTGCCTGGACCAGCTGAAAATAAAATAGTGCACGTTCACAAAAACGTTAACAACACTACTCATAAAATTACAACATAAAGTTTTGAAATCTGAATATGTTTGCCATGTAAAATTAGATGTGAAAATAGCACTACTATGGACTTAAAAACTAAATGCCAAAACTTGCATTTCACTATGGCATCAAGACGTACATTTAAACTCTGTCATTGTGAAGTCTTGATTGATTCAAACTCTGCATATTCTTCTTCTCCACAGTACACATTACCTTTAACCAGCATGTCCACAGCTTCACTCTTTGTCACATTTGGATGAAACCAGCTAAATACAGTATTAGGATCAATGTTCTCATCGAGGTCATCTACAAGATCACGGAAGATCATCCCTTGCTCTCCAGTGCGATGGGCTGTCACCCATAGCCATCCATCTCCCATATCGTTATGCACAAAGAAAATATCACCTTTCTGGAAGCTGCAATGTACATGATAACAAACTATTCATCAATTTAACTTTGAGAAATTCATATCTACCATGCCAATTTTCAAAATTTAAGTTCACTGTTACAGAATTTCATTATCTTTTTGATGAATGCTGTCTTCTGGGATGTGGTGGCATGTAGATCTTGTCCATTCACATAAGATATACACAGCGCCACATCCCAGAAGACGGCATTCTTCATAGTCATAGACATGAAAACCTCAAATCTTACATCCATTACCTTGGCAAGGGCTATGAAATCCTTGCACCCTACTTCCTGGGCAAACAAACATTTCATAGCATTGTCTAAAATATTAATTGCATGTAACAGAATTAAACAACACAGTCCTTTGAACACAGTCTGCCAAATATCATCTTCAGCAAAAGTGGAGGTGTTGGGAAAACAATTATACACTACAAGCAACTTAGAGTTCCTTACAAATTGTTTATCTGCTCAGATGGAAGCATTTGATGCTCCTCCTGCACACTTGACAGCCATAAAGACATCGACAACCAGTAGAATCAACAAGTCTATAGACTAACAAATTACAAATAAAAACTTACCTATATTACAGCAGATGTAGAAAATGCTCTGTTGTTACAGACACATTCCTGACACCGCCACAAAATGTTTCTTGCCACACGTCAAAAGTCTTTTATAAAATAACTTGAAACTTGAAACCCTGGTATCCTATGAAAGTTATCAAGCACACTGTTTGAGCCTAGCATTAATATCATCCAACATTCATTCACTGAGCACTTGACATTTCAATCTTGTTTTTAATCACCTGCCACTAATGATGAAATCAGTGGTAGATCAGATGAGAACATTTTCACAGCAGCAATAGCCACATAAACAATATCAAGAACATAATAATCAAAAACATCAAGGAACATTTCTGGCATCAGCCATAATATGGTGAAATTTTATTTGTAACTTGTTCAGTAAACATGCTTGGCAGTTCTGCAGGCAGTCCACATCTCCANGTTCAATCCTGGGTCTGGTAAAGTGGAATTTGTGGTGGACAAAGTGGCGCTGGGGTGGGTTTTCTCTGAGTACTTTGGTTTCCCCTGCCAATCTTCATTCCACCAAATTCTCCATCATCATAATCAGCTGGGGCAGGCTACAACTGGCCAATCAGTGGCCACTGTGCCAAGTGGACCCAGTAGGACTCCAACCCCCACTAAGCAAACAAAAAAAAAAAAGGTTCATGATTTGTACTTTTCACCAAACATTATTACAGGAATCAAATCAAAAATGGGATGGGTGTAGCATGGAAGATCAGATACAGGTATGAAATTTTTGCTGGAAAACCTGAAGTGAAGACACCTCTTGTAAAGCCTGGGCATAGGGGTGGTTAATACAAAAACTGACCTCAACAAATAGGGTGATAGGGTGAAGACTGAATTCATCTGCCAAGTATACTGTGGTGGAATCTTCTGAACATTGTAAAAACGTTTACATCTTATAAAAGTTATGCAATTCCTTGAGTAGTTCAGTGACTATTAATTTGTCAAAGACTTTGCTACATGCGTATGTGTGAAGCATCAACACGCAACACTGGGGCATATGTTATAAGGAACTGAGTCAACTATAAACTGAACACATGACAGTGACCTGAACTTTTAAGTACTAAAGATGATAAGGCTATCTTGTAGGAGCACAGGGCAATACTTCATTAAAGTAATTATTAATCAGAAGTTCCACAATTACAAGAAATACTACAGTTGAAAGAAAATTTTGCATATTACCTATTACCTACAGGTAAGGAGCCTGGACAGCGTAGTTGGTATAGCAGCTGTCTACGGGCTCGACAACCGAGAGATCGGAATTCGAGTCCTATAGGGTGAAGAATTTTCACTCCTCCATGTCATCCAGAACAGGTCTGGGGTCCACCCAACCTCCTATACAATGGGTACCAGGGGGTTCTTTCTCTGGGGTAAAGCGGCCGAGGCGTGAAGCTGACCACTCACCTCTAACTAGTGCCGAGGTCAAGAAAATGTGGATCTATACATCCATTCCCCATACATCTTCATTGTGTAGTGCTTAATTAGTTAAGCACAGGGACAACTTTACATTTTCCTACAGGTATAATACACAAATTAGATTCCTACTTTGATTTAAGTGTTGCCAATTACATCTCGTATTTCAACAATGTGTAACACCCATCTAGTCTACAAACCAGAATACATTATACTTTGTATAAGCAACCTTACAGAAGAAAGTGTGAATTTCCCTCCAGTGTATAAATACTGCAAGTGTACTGAGAACAGAATCCAGTAATTCTTTCATGAAGGTGCATTCTCATTCCCATGGCAGATAGAGTATATCAGTGACATCTTACAACAATTTGCATTAGACTGTACTTCTGATACTGTTTTATTATTTTATCGCATTTTGCATCCAACTAACACTGAATGAGCATTCCTTTTGTCCATCTCACTCAACAGTGACCAGTAGCAAGACCAAAAAGTCATAATTATACAATTTTCAGTGACTGCAGCATGAATTTTGGTTACTTCCTGACTTCTGGATTATTCAGTTTTTAATTACTGCATTACTTCTCTCCTGTTTACAGATAACTGAGAGTTCACTGTGCATCTTTTAATTTGTACTGCCTTCCATAATTTACAATAAATTTGTTTAATCATACCTTTGGTCAGAATTCCATTAATCTATTTCAATAGAAGACTATTGATTAGATACATATCCATAAATATCAGTTCACTAGAACTAAATATTCACAACTAAGAAAATGATCACATACATCAACATTACCTAAGCTCATCAGTATCTGGCATTTTGGTGTATGGCAATATGGCAACTATCCGTTTCTTGTCATTGACAGGTTCTGGTGGAGGAACTGGATGAATTAAACGTTCACGTTTCAACAAGTCTGAACAACTTGTATAGTATCCTATGAGGTCTGATAAAGAATCAAACTGCCTTCCACCAATGTAAAAATCACCACATACTGCAGTTATTCTGGAAATGAACGAGACTTTAATTTCCACACATTTTACAAATGAAGATAACATCTCTCCCTGAGATTTAAAGTTAGGTTTGCTTCAATAATTTCACTTCTGTTTAAAGTAATTGACAAATACGACATTATCATTAGTAGTAACACTACTATTTAAGCTTAAAATTAGTCAATCATAATGAGGTCAACCACTGTCACGATGTCAGCTGGATTAACATTTTACTTCAATTACTTTAGCGTGTGGCAAGGATACACATATCAATTATGTGTACAAAATTATTCCAGATAACAGTAAAACAAATGAGCCAAGTTTTGTTAGTTCTTACCTCAAACACAAATCACAAAATGTACAATACAATAAACAAAACTAATGGTCACAATTTACCTGAAATGATTTATTCCTGTCCTCCCTAAGTAAGATAACACATATGACCCCGGTTTCCTGTCACTCTCGCGTACCAAGTAACTCCCCATTTTTGCCGCTTGCCACAGACGTTCTTCGGCGGTATAACGATCTAACCGTCCATGATACCACCTACAAAGGAAGTACAATTTGTACGTCACTTGCAATTTCATTTCATTACAGTCTAGGAGTTTTCAAACAAACTGTCAATTTGCAGTCTTCCCTAGGGGGGGGAAAGACACCACAAAGAACGATTACTCACTGGTTTTCCGGAGGAGCAACAATTGCTGAAACGTTAGCCCCCTCCGCTTCTTCTGCATCTGCTAAAAAGGGATCGAATTCTTCTCCGATAGCACCATCGTGTCCTTCATCACTTCCAGTACTCGGTGACCCTTGGAGTTTTTCTTTTGGCATAATAATTCCAGTGGTAGGACCAACCCTTACGAACTCAGCCATCTTGGCTTCAACCCAACCTCTCTCGCAGGACCTATTTAATCTATATATTTGCTATAACATCGCATGAACACTTCCTGTTCCGCGACTTAGAGGAAAAATATATATACATATGGTTGTAGAAGTCAACAAATTTAAAATTTAATTCACACAATTAAGGCAATTTGACTTAAGAAAACCCGAATAATAAAACAACATGTTACCAATTAGCACTTCAAGTTTACAGTATAATCCGGCTTGCAGCTATTATCGATATAATTTTTATAATCGACTAACGAGAACTAGGGAATTGTATAATCGATATGATCGATATCATGTTGTACGTCACATGGGCGCGAAATGTGTAGATAATCTCGACATTACATGTTAAGTACATAATTTACAGCATAAGTTTTGGCGCAAGCGATATGGGAAACACCAAAGATGCAGTACTCAAGAGTAAAGAAATTCAATATATATACTTATTGTAGATCCTGTGTATGTCTTTCTAATGAAGTGTTATTTTAGATGACTTATAAGAGGTTATAATTAATGTGCAATGTATTTTAGGCATGTTCCAAGAGTATGCTATCCTTCATCATAAAAATGAACTGCTGGACATTATGAGAGCTGATAATGAAATGAAACATTACTCTATCACAGTAAAGTAAGTAACACACTGCAGTAGGGTGAAAGTGTGCATTGACACCACAAAAATACTTGACTGTTGCTTGTGCTGATATAATGATTGAAACTCAAGTACATTCCAAGAACAGCGAAAAGAAAAATACAAAAAAAGTACTGTATCACATATGGTTAATCTTTCTTTGCCTTATTTGGTTCACATAGCTTGCCCTCATGTTTTTGTTATTTTTTCTGGGGAGGCCATATGAATCGATATTTTGCTCGAACATTATATTATGGTTAGTTTTAAAGTTTTGCCTCTGAAATATAGTTAATATAAGAAAGTGAATTCTTGTCTTCCTTTTTTAATTCATGGATAGGGTAGGATGAGACTGAGTCCACTTGGTATGCCACTCATTAGTGGGCATATTATACCAACCCTGGATGATGTCTACGGAATGACACTTGGCAGGAAAGATCTAAGTACTTTGCAGTGCCACTTTGCCCACCACAAACCCACATGACCTGACCTGGGATTGAATCCAGGCTGCTGCAATGAGAAACCAGTGAAACCAGAAGTTTTGGTTGTCTTTAGGTGGTCTGGAATTGATTACTCTAAATTTTAATAAGCCCTGCGTACCTTCTTCCTAAAATACGTGGTTACCACATTGTAAGTTGTTTCATGCGATCTATACAGTTTATATGTCAGCCTGTTTCTTTACAGTTTTGTTACTTTATTTGAAATAAGTACGCAACTAGGAGATGCAATCTTATCAAATTCAAGTCATGTCCTGCCAATATGCGATGGAGCTTTGGTAGAAGCTCAAAGAATTCTATTGGAAATGCAATCTGCAGATACTAAACATAAATATACTGTTAAACTGAACATCCATGCTCGGATGACAGGTAGGTACAGTAACTTGCTATAGATAGCAAATTGTGAAAATATTAAAAATTGAAATATACTGTATATATCTGTAATTAATAATCTTAATATTTTAGCTCTTCCAGTATGCCCTGAACTTTATCGCACAGTCTTCCCAAGAAATGAGGATGTTTGTAGCTTCCTTAGAGTGTCTGGTACTGTTGTAAGAATTACAGCTTCTAAGATGCTTGAGTTTCAGCGGGATTTTGTATGTTCAAAGTGCAAGTACACACAGACAGTTAAGGTAATAATGAGCTTGTAATGCCTTCTTTACAGGAAAAATTTAATTGTATTTTAGAACATAAAGTGAATCTTATTTCAGTATAAAGAAAATAATTATGGTCAAGAATATTGCCTTTCTTTTAAGTTAAATCAGAGATAACATGAGGGAGACAAAGAATGCATATTGAATTTTGATGCAGAAGACTGCTCAGGAGATTAAAGGAGAACATTAAGATGGATTTTTGGGGGAAAAGGTTGAAAGGATGTGTTGTGGGGCAGAAGTGAATCAGGATCATGTCCAGTGGTAAGCTTTGATATTAGTATGTTGGATCTTCTGTTTTTACTAGCAGAGAATTAGTTCACCCAGAGTAACATAAAATAAACTCTTGAGATTTTGAAGAAAGGGTACAGTCTTCTCGGCTGTAATATTCATGTAGTTACTATAGGATTCTGACGATGGTGTATAACACACTGATATATTGGGTTTTTGGACTTTATCCATCGTCCTGGTTTTTAAGATAACTAATAAAAACACGACGTTTCGGAAACTGGATCTGTTTCCGTCCTCAGGTGAAGGAAAAACCTATTCTGTTGGGTGGACCAGTGATTGAGGCTAGCTCTTTCTAACGGACCCAACAGAATAGGTTTTTCCTTCACCTGAGGACGGAAACAGATCCAGTTTCCGAAACGTCGTGTTTTTATTAGTTATCTTAAAAACCAGGACGATGGATAAAGTCCAAAAACCCAATATATCAGTGTGTAATATTCATCATAGTCGTTATTATGGGAAGCTCAAATCTTGAGATTTTGACCAAGAAGACGAATGTGAGTAATGTAATAAGAAGTTTGTATACACTGAAAAAAAAATGAAAATTAAAATGAAACACATAATTAGTGCTCTTCATCAGTTGATGACCAAGCTTTGAATATTGTATTTGAGCTATGTTTTATTTGCAGCTTATATCAGCGATGCAGCACCTCTAATCTTATTTATTTATTTTTCAGGCTGACTATGAACAATATTATGTTATATCCAATCCTATACATTGTTCCAACCCTGAATATTGTCAAGGAACAAATATTCAACCTGTAAAAATAGCTGGTAGTTTCAATTACAAAGATTATCAGGAAATTAAGATTCAGGTTTGTTACATTTGCTTTCATTTGAAAGTTTTTAGTTTGACTGTGTATCATGATTTGGAATGAATACCACCGTGTGTCAAAATCCATACAGTAAAACTTCTGTATGATGAAATTTATAAGAAGCAAATTTGTGGATTTTGTTTATTTTTTTTTATTGCTAGTGGGGTGGGACTAAGTCCCTTGTACTGCGGCCACTTCTGGCCTATTGTACCAGCCCCAGATGACAGGTGAGGGTGATTGTGGAGCAATTGGTGGAATGAAGATTGGCAGGGGAAACCGAAGTACTTGGAGAAAACCTACCCCAGCGCCACTTTGTCCACGACAAATCCCACTTGACCAGACCTGGGATCGAACCCAGGCTGCCGTGGTGGGAAGCCAGCAACTAACCACTTGAGCTATGGCGCGGCCTGGATTTTGTTTAACTGAGATGTATTTGTTGACTTGGAATTTTAATTATGGTTATTCTTATACTATTTGCAGTTGTACATTGTGTAAGATTTGAAGCTTTCACTGTGGCTAAAGTTAATTAAATCTTCTGGTGCTATCAAGATTAACTGCCTTAATTCCACTTCATGCAAATATTTTGGAGTCACATCATTTGAATATTTTGGTGTTGGCAAAAATCCAAGTGTGCTCATAAATTTTTATTGGTCACAAAAAAAAAGAGTTATGTCTTCCGGGATATAACGCCATGTAGCCTGTTGAAAGTCCACCAACGTTTTGGAGGACATCCATCTTCGGAGTCAAAGATTAAGTCAAGCAAGAAATCAACATGCAGCAGGTAGCAAGAAGAGTTCATGCTAGTTTCTTGCTTGGCTCATTTGTCAACCCTGAAGATGAAGGCGACATGTTCCCCTGACATATAGGCTGACTTTCAGCAGGCTATATAGCCTTATATCCCAGAAGACAGAACTCTTCATAACCAACACTGCAAGAACCTCAAATCCTACAAAATATATATAGTTAATTGCTCAGAACCACACAAAAGTATGGTCAAATTATGCAAAATCACCTGTATTTTTGGAAGAAACAAAGTAAAGACTGAAACATATCCAGAAACCATACAGCAATTGTAATTATACCAATATCATGCTGGACATTTATTGTATAGTGAAATTATAATGACAGTATAATGATTACAGGCACCATTTGATGACGGTAGAGCCAACTTCCAAAACACTATTTATCAGGTACATGACACAAACACCGTCCCAAGTGCAACAATTTATTGTAGTTCCCTTGTCTTGCCCTCTTCTACACTACATGTTTCGGCCACAAACGGCCATCATCAGGTGTATGCACTTAACGTATGTAACAGCTATGTAAGTGCATACACCTGATGATGGCCGTTTGCGGCCGAAACATGTAGTGTAGAAGAGGGCAAGACAAGGGAACTACAATAAATTGTTGCACTTGGGATGGTGTTTGTGTCATGTATCGTGTGGGGTGCAACAGGATGCTTAAATATAATATTGTAAATATAATACTATTTATCAGATTCACCTCAGACAGTGTATCAAACAATGTCCATCATAAGACTGGTATAATGACTCAACCATTGTCACAGACTTGTAGTGAATCATTACATGTATACAGCAAAAGACACGTAAAAGACACGACACTCAGAATAAGAATTAAATGTGCAAATATCAGCTTACCTTTACATTACATAGCATTCTCTTAATAGGTATCACAGATTTCTGATTTTCTAAATATCTGTGGCTTCATTCAGCGCAGAAATATAAAACATATTGGTGATTTTCTTCAGAATTCACCGCAGGAGAAGATGTAGATTCAGTTTAGGTCATCAGAGTCTCTACTTTTCACGCACTCCATATTTCTTGCCCATAAAGAAAATCACCTGGAAGAAATAACTTTAAAAAATCATGTTGCAGGAACAAGTAACAAAGCTGAAAATGGGAACCATTCCCAGATCTATGTGGATTACCATGGAGGATGACCTGGTTGATTCTTGCAAGCCTGGAGATGATGTTGTTATATGGTTAGTTTTATTGTAAACCACTTTTACAACTCTAGTATCTGTTATTGGCTGAATCTGTTCTCCTGATGGCATCATAACATGTAGAATCTTTGCTAAAACTTATCAGTGAATCTAAACTTCAGTCCAAATCTTATAAAGTGGTTTACTGACTGACTGACTAAATAACTAACTAACTAAATAACCAGCCAACTAACTAAGCAACTTCATGGAGCTGTGCCCTTCTTGAGAAGCAGCCAATTGAGCAGTTACTGAAGAATTTCCCAGCATTTTATGGAACCTGAAGGTTCATTACTGTGTTCACAAGAGCCCTCCACTGGTCCCTATCCTGAGCCAGATCGATCCAGTCCATACCACCCCATCCTATCTCTCTTAAGATCCATTTTAATATTGTCCACCCACCTATGTCTTGGGCTTCCTAGTGGTCTCTTTCCTTTTCTCTCTCATTCATGCTACATGCCCTGCACACCTCATACTCCTTGACTTGATCACTCTAATTATATTTGGCAAAGAATACAAGTTATGAAGCCCCTCAGCATGCAATTTTCTCTAACCTCCTGTCACTTCATCCCTCTTCAGTCCAAATATTTTCCTCAGCGCCATTCCCAGACATCCTCAGTCTGTGTTCCTCCGTTAATGTAAGAGACAGAGTTTCACACCCATACAGAACCACAGGCAAAATTATAGTTTTGTATATTCTAATTTTTATGTTTTTAGACAGTAGATGAGAAGACAAAAGGTTCTGCATTGAATAGCAGCAAGCATTACCTGAATTCAGTCTCCTCTTATAAAGTGGTTTACACTTCATATAAAAGCTTTAACATGTTTTTAAGAGGTCCTCTTTTAATACTGCAGCTATAAAAATGTTTCAAACAAAAGCTGTAGCCACTAAATATATGTTACTCATTTTCTTTATATAGTGTGTTTCTCAAGAAAAAGGTTTTTAAATACTAAAGCAGACTTTATGAAAACATCTATACAAAACATGCTTTTCTCCTATGTGATGTTCCCTTTGTGAAAATTTTTGTGATATTGATGGCCACTTGCTGTAAATTGCTTTCTCTTTACTTTTCTTTTCAGTGGTACTGTTATGAGACGTTGGAGGCATATGTCTGAAGGCAGTCGAAGTGACATTGAACTAGTGCTGAAAGCCAATCACCTGCAAGTATGTAATGAACAGGGATCAGCAGTGCTCATTACCAGTGAAACTCGTGATGAATTCTCCAGATATTGGGAAGGTCATTCACATCAACCTCTGGTAGCACGAAATCATATTTTAGCATCTATATGTCCTCAGGTTTGTACATTTTATATGCATATATTTCTGCCACTTACATCAAATTTAGTTATGTCCCATTATTGAAGTCAGTATGATGAAACTTTTACAGTGATCATCCAGTGACTGAAGTTTGATAGAGGGTGAAGGCGGATATTACATTACATATTACATTTATATTTGTAACATGTAGACCCATTGCTAAGTACTCGTAATGGCTCTGTAAACAATGCCTGTTGCTAGGCCACAGATTCCTAACACATACCAATGGACTAACTTGGAAGGGTGTTCTCTATGTGGTCTGTGCAACAGCTGCATGAAACAACAGTAAAAGAATTGTTGGAATGGTGCTTTCTGTGCAGTCCATTCAAAGATGTTATAAGCAGATAGTCAGTGGTGTTAATTCAGTTCAACTGAATGAAGTGGAATGAGCTGGTTGGTGAGTGAGTGAGTGAGTGAGTAGGAGGACTGCAGTTCAGTCCTTGTGAGCCATTGCTGTTAGATGCTGGTAACTGAGGCATGGGGATTGTTCAGGAATCCAGAGTAAGGGGAACATCCGCTGTTGGAAGCAGTTACCAGACAGCGGCTGGTGAAGACACAGGAGACTGAAAAGACTTAGTGCATACTGTAGTGAATTGTAGAGAGTGTGAATTGGCAATAGCACTATAATTACTTGTAGTTACGTTCTGTAAGAGTTCAGTAAATGCAATTACCAATCCAAACCCTGCCTATAGTCACTCCATCACATGAAAATATTACCTCTTTTTAGGAAGGACCATAATGATCCTGGGATTTCTACAGCATTCCATTCATAGGTTGAAAGTTATTCTACTTCAGAAATAAATTGCAACATAATGTTTACTCTGGCAACACACATGGGTCCTTTCACTTATAATTTGAAGTTGGAGGCATCACATTCACTAAAAAGTTTCTTCTGCTATGGAGCTACAACCTACACAACCTACATAACCTACACAACCTACACAACAATTTTCATATAAATAAATATAGACATGTTTATGATTCCTCACCATACCCATTTTACTAGCATTTTATAAGTTGTATGAAATAAGATAACTAGTCTGTACTGTTGTCATGTCACAGTGTTATTTCACATTAAAAAATTTTGATAATGGATATTTTTTCAAAGCCCATCATCCTTTAATATTCCAGAATCCTGCAATGAATGGCATTATTGAGTCTCTCACTTTTAGATGTTCACATGGCTACCGTGTTAATTGAACGTAGTTATTAAAGAGTTGTAGGATATTGGGTTGCGATGGTATGACCTTTAGAGTAAATTTAAAAGAAAAGCTGGCTGTCTAGTTCAAGCATTATAAGTGAGAGACTCATATCCAGATATGAAGATTAAAAGCTGTTCTTACTGAATAGAAATAGGAAAATAAACAAAAAAATGAAACTAAGTACTACATTATGTCCTGCTCAGATTGATTTTTATTACATATGCAACATTCTAACTCATTTTTGACACAATTTAATGGAAACCAGTGAAGTAAAGTTTTCATTTGTTTGGTATGTTTATAGGCAATGTTGAGTGTTTTTTCTGTAGTCAGCATGTTACAAAAATTATTTGCAGGTATATGGGCTTTATCTGGTAAAGCTTGCTATAGCTGTTGTATTATGTGGAGGTGTACAGAAGACTGACATATCAGGATGTCAGGTTCGTGGAGAATCTCACCTCTTGCTGGTTGGTGATCCAGGCACAGGGAAGTCCCATCTCCTGAGATTTGTGTCCAGAGTTTGTCCACGATCAGTACTGACTACTGGTGTGGGGTCTACATCAGCAGGATTGACCGTTTCTGCAGTTAGGGTAAGAGAGAGACTCTGAAATGCACAGGTAGTATATATAATTTTAATTAGCAACAACCAACAGCATTTACCCAGTCTTTAATTTATTCAGTGTTAAAACCTAATCATTCCTTAGTATACAAGAAGCACGTGACTCGAACATGAAACGTTCTTCCATTGAATTCCAGAAAATCATGAAATTAATCCTAGCAATACTCCTTAAGCAAGGTTTCCCATTTATTTTATGTCCTTTTTTTGACTCCTTACTTTCAGATACTTTAATTTATATTCATTTCTCACAATTACACAGAGAAGTGGCATGATAATTACTTTGTATATATATTATTATTCTTTAAAATTTTGGAAAATTGATGACATCAGTTTTTGAACTTAATAACAAGAGGCAGGAATTTTGTTAATAACCTATAGTTTATACACTGAAATTATGTGGTTTGCTGCTGTACTATGTATGCCTTTCTGATTACAGGAAAATGGAGAATGGCAGCTGGAAGCTGGTGCCTTAGTTTTATCTGATGGTGGCGTTTGCTGTATAGATGAATTCAACTCAATTCGAGAACATGATCGTACAAGTATTCACGAAGCAATGGAGCAGCAAACAATAAGTGTTGCCAAGGTCAGTAAGACTGCAACATAAGGATTTTGAAATAATTATAGAAATATACCCAGACACTGTCCGCTGTGGTTAACTGTAACAGGCTGTGGAGGCCCATAGGTTTATGAGATATTGAGGCTTCCACATTTTTGTAGACAGTGGGCTCACAGATGGCAGTGAGGTTGTCAGCCTTATGTGCTTGCCATCTTTTACCCCAGGAAGATTCCTGGTACTCATTTCTGTTAGAGGCTGTGTAAACTCTAGGGCCATAGTGCGGCTAGAAAGATTAAGTTAACTTAAAAATCCAGTGACCTAATCAGAAATTGAACCTGCGACCCTCCAGCTAGTAGCATAGTGTCTCAACCAACTTGCTACCATCCAATGTGGGGAAAATTAAATTTTATCAAAGTTTAATAAGTAAAAGTACCTTAATTTCAATATTTAGAAAATCTGTTAAATTCATATAATGAGAGAGATTCAGAAAATAAAAGGCTAAATGGCAACATTTACAGACATTGTACACGTAGAGTGAAGACAGTGGTTGATGATAGCATGAAGCTATACACCTGCAAGAGAGACAGTGAAAGAAGTCAAGCATGCTGGAAAGAAGATTTTGAAGCTGGTGAGGCAATTAATTGCTTAACTGAGAAACAAGTGATAGCAAGGTCTGCTGGTATTGAAAGGTTATGCGTAAACAATTTTAAGCATTGTGTTTAAAAATGCTGTATCTAACTCAATTTTTATGATAAATGGATGGAATTAACTTTATTTGTATCGGCAAAGAACATAGTGTTGCATATTATAACGGAAAATTTTTATACAAAGAGTTATATTCTATTTTCAATTTTTTCTTTTAATTTTGATGCGTATTACAAAAATGGTTTCTCAGTTCTTCACAGAGTTGTTCTGCATTATAAACTCATTTATGTTTGTAACACTTGACAAATTTTATCAGTCCCTGGTGTCATAACACAGATGGAAATAATAAAATCATTTGGTCTCCTGCTAGCACTGCTTACACTCTTCGGATTTTCTAATCTTTTGACTAAAGGACAGAAGAATTAAAGAATGGCTATTCAAGAGAAAGCTAGAGAGGTCCCTTCTTCAGTGCTAAGGCCTTCTGTTATAGCTGCCCTTTCTAGGGTCATGAACAGACAGTTGCATCGTGGCTGAGATACAGAGGGTGATCTGTTTTCTGTGCGTTCATAGTGAAATCGAATACTGTAGTTTAATTTCAGCCTATATATACATAAAGCAGACCACAACAAAAAAGGTATGTACATTGAATTTTACAATATATTTTTAACACATTAATCTGCAGAATCTGCAATAAAAGTACTGGCCCAAGGATCAGTTTGGGCATAACTCATACGTATACTCTTTTTTGCTGTTGTTCACTTAGGTATCATTTTAATTCCTCTATTATGGTTTTACTCAAGTCTGTCTAGTAATTACTATATTTAAAAATAAAGATTTAGGACTGTGCGTGCGCTTCTACTAGCGGCGTGTGCGCGCGCTTCCACTAGCGGAGTTTGAATGCCCGACTGGCCAAAACAGGGTACTTTGGCCACGATAACCATACTCATCACTGGCCTGATCATGGCAGGTTAAAGGTTAATATTGAGGGTTCACTGTATAATAAAGAATCCACTGGAATTATTACACAAATTCCAATCACATTCAAACAAATTTCTAAGCTTACACTTAATACTTGAAAAGATCCTTCCCAAAAATATCAGAAATACAATACATTACTAGTTTCAGTAACTGAAACAGTCTTGAAACCTGCAATTTGTAGATTCATTTAGTACTGTCAAAGAAAAAAATTATGTTTTTCAGCATTACAGGCACGTAAAAGGTTAAATCAGTGAAACTAGATACTTGTATACAGAAGACAGTTCACGTATTCCCTTTTCTATAATTTTTTATTTCTAGTTCAGTTTAACCTTATGTTAGTTTTTAATTAATGGAATATCTGTACCATCTTTCATTCTAAGTCCACAATATTCTCTTTCCATTATTTTCCCTGCTGCATGCAATGTTGTGCCAGTTTTATAATTTTATGCCTATTTATAAACATATAAATCAGCACTAAGTTTTGTTTCATCAGGATGTTGTTTTACAAGTAAAATAAACGGTCTCATTTTCAGGCTGGATTAGTGTGCAAGTTAAATACACGATGTACAGTCTTGGCTGCCACTAATCCAAAAGGCTGTTATGACCCAACTCACCCACTTACTGTTAACATAGCCTTAGCAAGTCCACTGCTGAGTCGTTTTGATCTTGTTTTAATCCTTGTTGATTCTCGAAATGAAGACTGGGACAGGTAAGAACTGATATATTAATTCTTGAAACAGAATCTTATACATTTTACAAGTATCCAGAAAATTCGTTTTGCAGTTTTGTATGCTATACACCTCTTTATCTGCTGGAAGGTTTACGGAGTCTGGGGTAGATAGATAAGAACTGCTGAGTTTGTGAACATTTTGATTGGAAAACCTTGCAGACACACAAATTGAAGAATAGCATTAAACTAATTCATATGGAAATGTGGTGTAAGGAGATCATGTAAAATGATTGCCTCAAGATAGGTCCTATAGCTAGGATCTTATAATTACACTGACAAACTTACAGATTCCATAACAAAGGATGTTGCTCAAGGAAAGTCATATATCAGGATGTTTGTTAGTTATATTCTGAGCAGTGGAGGATGTGAAAGGAAACAAAGAGACTGTTAACTGATTTAGCAGACCTTACACTCACTGTGTATCCTGAGAGTGGCAATCAGATTGAGACTTTGGCTTTTCTTATGTCTTAGGGCATATATTTCAAAATTCACTATGACTGTTCCTTCAACAATTCTATTAGATGCACAATTCATAGTCATTTTAACATTATAGTACATTCTCAAATGAAATCTGACTTAAAAAAAAAGGGGGGGTAATCTTGGGTCAAATCTGTGTTAGCATTTTCTGACTCTGTAGCAGGGATATGCAACATTTTCAAACTGTGAGCTACATTAGAAAATATATAGCTAACTGTAGAGCAATTTGAAGTTTTGGTAACCAGTGGTGTAAATTAGTTATATGTAACATTGCATTTCATTAAATTAATTGCAAAACAAACTATGAACAGAACATGTAATTAAAACAAATCCGACACATGATTTTTTTTAGGAAAATTATTGCAGGTTCACCTAAAGAAAGTGTTCATGAGTCAAAGGTTCTGTGTGGCTGTAGTACATAAATATTTGAGTTCCTCTGAAGAATAGTTACTCATAACGGGTCATGTATCTCTCTGTTTCTGTGGTTTGTTACATACACAAATTTTATTGTCTCATAGGAAGCACATAGAAGCCATACCCTTTTGATCCTAGAAGCAGAGATATTCCTGTCAGTAAAGTGAGGGGCAATGAGTTCCATGCATGGGTTCTGATTCACAATAGGGTCAGGGATATTTCTCATGTGATGTTCAGACCAGATTTGGGGCTCACCCAGCCTATACTCCAATATGCACAGGTGGCTATTTCTCTGGGGATAGTCATCAGAATGTGATGCTGATCTGCAACAGAGGTCTAGAATGTGTGGAGTTTTACCACCACACTTCCTAAGCACGTTCATTGTGTGATGTTTTAGTAGAACAGAAAATTTCCTTCTTTTTAAATGAATCTGTAATGCCTAACATTTATTCAAAAACTGAGATCAATTTTCATGTTAATTACCATTGCCTGTATTTTTTAAAATTTCTCATTAAAAGAGTGTCTACTGTTAAGGCTGTTTTATAATGTTACTAAACCCAAAATTTGTAGTGTTTTGTTGTTCTTCCATGTGTGAGCCTTCATCTCCTCTAGTAATTACAACAATGATGCTTGTACTTAAGTAATGCAGAGATCCAATATGACAGCATTAAATTATAAAATTCCATTTGGACACTAACTTATTTATGGTACAGTATATCATTGCAACACCCTGGGTACAACTGACTCAGTTAGTTTGAAAAGAAAACACATCCAATGGCTGAAAAGTGATCCAGTATAGCAGGAAGAGATGTCTTTATGGACTGGAAATATTCCATATTGAATAACTGAATACTATGGCATATTCATTCATATTGCTGTAACGATTTTCACTACTTAATTTTTTTATAGGTTTGTTTCTGGCTTCATCCTGCAGGGTAAGGATCCTATGAAAGAATGTGAAAATGAAAAAGGGCCTGTCACACTATGGGGAATTGAGAAGCTACAAGCCTACTTCAGCATTGTCAAAACTCTTAATCCAGTATTTACTGAAGAGGCTACTCTTGTTCTACGACGGTATTATCAAGTCCAAAGACAGACAGACTGTCGCAATGCAGCCCGTACCACTGTAAGACTTCTTGAAAGTCTGGTCAGGTACATCTGATATACTTCCACATGTCATACAGAAAAATCTTAATTTGATGAGCGTGTTTGTAACAATAATATCTGAGAGTCAAATTAATATGAAAATAGGTGTACATATGATTTTATTTACTGTTAATGACAACTCAATGTCACAGGCTAGTTGTGAAGTACTTGTAACTGTTATACAAACTGCCATAAAATGGATGGACAATAATTTTGCTTCATTGCAACTGAATATCAAGTTTCTCATTGCATGTGAAATCCCATTATAAAGCTAGCAACTGTCTACTTGAACCTCTCTTTGACCAAGCATCACCATATCTGACTGATATGGCTCCTCCAAGACATTTCTTACAGAATGTGTAAAGAAAAAAGTAACCAGTTCCACAAAGCTCAGTCCCTCTTGAGAAGCTAACTGCTGCTTAGGTGCTCAAGAAAATCCCATCATTTTATGGAACCCAAAAGTTCTCTCCTGTGATCAGAAGAGCCTACCACTGGTCCCTATCCTGAGCCAGGTGAATTCAGTTGACACCCTCCCATTATGTTTCCTTAAGATCTTTTTAATATTATTCTCCCATCTATACCTACAACTTCCTAGAAGTTTATTTTGTTTTTCTATTTATTTATTTTAATACCTCTTTCTTCATTGGCTGTATTAAAGCATATACTTGATGTGAATGCCAAAGGATTGTAGCGTGTAGAGCTGTTACTGTGCGATGACTGTGAGACAGGCAAATATACCAGACCCAATTCAAGGCAACAATTCAGTAAACACGTTTCCACAGCAACAATAGAGGTACTGTTGGAAATGGTTTTCTACTCAGTCCATGCCAAGGAGTTATAAGACAATAGGGGTGACCACGGTCAATTCTGTACAGGAGTCTGTGAAGAGAGGACTTGTGTGTATGAAGCTGAAGAATCTCCACTGCTAGAAGTTGTTGCCAGGGAATGGCTGGTGAAGATAGCAGGCTGGAAAAAGGCTTAGCAGGTGCTGTGGTGATTTGTGAATTGGAGTAACGCTGTAATTGCTTGTAGTTCTGAGCTGTGTTTAAAAGTGGTCGATAAATAAGTCACTAATCCACACCCTGTCTATAGTCACTCACACATGTGACAGTATCATTTTCCCTTCACATTGCATGTATCCCCCCCCTTTAAGAAATTTCTTCATATAAGGCTCAAAAATCTCATTCCTAAGACAGACCTTAAATGGAAATTCCACTGTATGCAATGACTAACTGGCATTTGAAATAAGAGGTTATTAGTTTCTGTACAGGTGTTTATAAAACTTGCTGATTAATGGGACCATTCATACATTAAAGCCACAAATTATTTACTTGCATAATCCTGTATACTGCTTTTTCCTATTAGTAAAACTAGAATTAAATAGTGCCATTACCATTGTTCATAGATTATCTCAAGCCCATGCTCGACTCATGTTCCGGGAGAACGTGACAGTCCAGGATGCTGTTGTTGCTGTATCACTTGTTGAATCTTCAATGCAAGGATCTGCACTTACAGGAGGGATTGATGCTCTTCACACATCATTTCCACATAACCCAATGGAGGAATACAGAATACAGGGTGAGGCTCCACACATTCCTTATTACTATAACAGCAGGTCTGACATTTGTAACCCCTAAAACAGGCATTTTAAATAATAATTTAAACCTTTCATTATCACATATAAGTCATGGTTCTGAATAGAATGTAGAATTCCTTGCCAGCCATGAATTTAAATATCTGCAGATTTTAATTTATATATATAATATAGTCAGTGGCATATGAAGGGGGCGAATACAACTGTCACCATCACAGACTTGAACTCCCAGTACTCTAATACTGTACAGTAAATTCTAAAACTGATGTTTTCAGTGTTTTAACTAGTATGTTATTTGCATATGCATTATTTTTAACAATGTTACTATACATGTTTTTATGTTTAGTGAAGGAACAATATACAATAGGTTTTGATGGGTACTCGTACATACGGTGGCTGCGATTCTCCTGACCACCAGTTCCCCATGAAACCTTGGTCTTGTCAACTGCCATGTTTTTCACAACCATGACCCAAAAGGCTGGTGAAGCTTTGCTGTATTTAGTATTTGTCCACGTGTGTTGTTTTCAGCTGTTCTCACAACTAAGAATTTTTTCCTCATTAGAATTAACATATACATACAGTGAAACCCTCATTTAAGGCTTCTGCAAAAGCAGTGGATCTGAACACTAAACTGAGGAAAATCCTAAGTGGAGGAAATTTAACACTAATATTACTGACTTGGGATCAGTGAAATTGAATGTTAAATAAGAGAATCTTATACTCAGGAGCACTAAATGGAGGTTACACTGTATTTACTGCAGTGGGTGTTTTGCCATTTGAAAGCAATACTAAGAAGACAAGTTTTACATGTACTAATACAGAGTCTTCCATGAACAAAGTAAATCATGCGACTCTTAGCATCAGCCTGTTAGCTAGAACCTTAGCTGTCCTCTGCTGAGAAAAATGAGTCTAGGGATGTGGCTGATATGCTATGCTTTATAAACAGAGACATGTATTTCTTAAAGCAAATTGTTTAAAGGAACTCACCATCACAGAAGAAGCTCAAAATGTCTACCTTCTATTCTTAAACTTCAAGTCTCTTGAAAATATTGACACAAGTTTGAGGTCATTTGCTTCACAAATGTTCTTCTTAAGTTCATACACTGTGTGGTGACTTTTTAATAACACCCTGTTTTCTACGTTTCCCCAAAGATAAAAATTACGGGGACTTAAGTCTGGAGACCCTACAAGCTGCAATCTGCGATTTACCAGTCTGTCTTCAGACATCTCATTTAAAATGTTAATGGAATAATAAGCATTTACCAGTCTGTCTTCAAACATCTCATTTAAAATGTTAATGGAATAATAAGCAGTGAGTGTAGCACTGTCATCTTGCATAAAATAATCATTTATTCTTCAGTATGTTCTTGTAAAAAATATGGGAGTTCAGTCTTCTGGGACATAATGCCATGTAGTCTGTTGAAAGTCAACTGATATTTCAGAGGAACACATACAGGACAACATTAAACAGCCCTCTTCTCGAGAACGACAGGGTGGCACACATTCAGCCCCCATCAAAAGAAATAATAAGAGGGATGACACGAACCAGCTTGGTTTACGAATTGCAATAGAATTTTAACAAACTAACTATAAATATTTTAAAGTATTGGAACAGCTGCTGTAGTTGTAAAAACTTTTACAGCCAATTGTATATTATTTATATTGTATGTATATATTTTAACTTTTAGAACATGTACTGTAATAGTGGCTTCTAACTGTATTGATGTAAAGGTGTCCCTCTGAAGATGGTCTCTGAAGACTGAAACATGTAAGGGCATGAATAATTGAAATAAGAAAATCTTAACCAGTCACACTTAACGGAACTATTTAGCCTTTTCATAATATTAGTGTGACGGACCAGAATGAAACAAATCAAACTCATATAATGTCTTCTGGCTTCCCACATGTAGCTGCTGGATTACACCTGCGTCCCTTATGCCATTGTTGCACTCTGGTTGCACCCAATATCTCTTCCTGAACCTCTGCCCTTTTGAGGTTCCTCTTGCAACATTGCCCTTGTCCAGTTCTTCTGTTGCCTCTGTTTGACCGTTAGTCCTTTATGACCACATCCCTTAAGCCATGCCACTCCTGCAGGCGGCGGCCAACTTCTTCTGGGAACCACCGTTGCCCTGGGTCCTTTTCTTTGGCTGACCGTGGTGCTTTAAGGTTAGAAGCTGGTCCCTGTATCGCTACTTCGGTGCTGTGACAATTTTCACCACAGTCTCTTCCTTAGGGACCTCCTAATGCACCAATTCTGACTTTAACTCCAGTGAGGTTGACTCCATACTCTTCACACAGGCCTCCCTCATGGTCTCTATCTTTTCCTTACTGGCTTTCATTACTGTCATAACTTCTTATGGCGAGTGTCCGTCTTCTCTTGAATGGCTTCCATTCTTTCATGGTTGGTTCTTCTTTCAGCCAAGAGGCATGACATCATGTCCCATTTCTGTGGTATGGCAGTATAATGCAGTTTCCAATCTGACCACTTCTGACACCAAACTGTCACGTATTTAGAGGTGTGTGACTTGTAGATGAGGCATGGATTGCTGAATGGATTTATTGACCACATGTACACACCAATTGGAACTACACTTTACAGTTCACTGATACACACAGACTAGTGTCCTCAGTCTATTACAGACTCCACTAGTCATTTCCTGGCAACAGATTTAACAAAATGGAGAGTCTCTGTCTTCCGTGGTCATGCCATTTCCTGCTGGTTAACACTCCACACCTGAACCCATAGCACCATCTTCTCAGCTTCCCTTGCAGAGCCTAACTCTCACTTAACTGCTCACTTGGAACTCCAGAACTTTGCTGTTCTCAGCTGAACTCTTCTTTATAACCACTTTGCATGGACTGAATGGAAAACATAATTTCCAGCAATTCCTCTAATATTGCTTGTGTATCAATTGAATTGCCACAGAAACCTATTTACTGAGCAGTTGCCTAGCAATGGACGTCTCCTCTGGTCCACCATTCCAGACTTCACGAGTCATGTCACAATAATAATGAAAAATTGGTTTCTTAATTTCAGTGGAGTTAGTGCTGAAGAAATTACAGCTTCATGAAATACTGGACAAGGAAGTAGCATGGCTACACACACTGAATTCAGAAAACATGGGAGAGGTCATCAAGGACAACCCTAGATCTAAACCAAATACTGGATGTGTCAGCTATGGCCTCAGGCATGAGACAGTAGATCATGCTGAGGGAACACTAATCAGTATTTCAATGCAGTCACAGTCAGAAACGAATGAAAGGATTACATGCGTTTCCAGCAATTCTGATCCAGAACTTGAGACTCTGGAAAATTCAACAATTTGTGATACTGCATGTAAACCTCAAACCCTTCCAGAAAAACTAAACAACACTTTGAGTAACATTCGGAAAATCAAAGACAGGAATACTTGCGAAGTTGTTGAACACCAACGAGAAGTTACACAAAGAAAAACTCACGCAAATAAAAAAAGTAAAAGAAAATCAGGTTTATCTTCAAGTAGTAATGAAGCTGTGGAAGTGGAAAGTGACACAGGAATTTTGAAAAAGAAAACAATAATGAAAGAAGAAATAGAGAGTGTGAAAATTCCAAGCACTGTATACAACCAAGTGTCAATGGAAACATCTGATGTGGGTCAGTCAAATGACAAACTCAGACAGTCAAACTCTCTAAAACAAAGGTTCTTATTCACAGAAGACTTATGCTGTAAGACACCAGATGACTCAGATAATATGCAGGCATGCATCACAGTTAAGAATATAACAGATGAAACACCATATAATAAGCAGACACTCTCATCTTCCAAGTTGTCATCATGCACATTTCAAAAGTTACAAAAATTCAAAAGGACCATTTCAATTACTGACAGTGTGCCTCAAACCATACCAGAAAATAAGGGAAATCTTTTTCCAGTGGATGAAATTCTGGACTGCAAAACAGATAGCAGTACTCAGAGAATTATCAGGCAGTCTGAAGCATTAGACAACCTTGTAAATTATGGGAAAAAGTTGTCCAATTCTCAGCGGTCTTCAATTAGTGGCTCAACACCTTCAGACAAAACTGTGACGAAAGCATCACAAAATAACTCACAAGTATTCAGTGCAGGAGGTTATGACCTGGGAGATCTGGATTTTGAGATATAATTAAGAAAGAATTTCATATATAAGTACACTAGTTTGAATATTTTGTGTAGAAATCAGATAATGTACAAAATCATGTTAACGCAGTTTCAGAAAATTTGGAAACACAGAAGAACTGTATTCTTGGCTGAAAACATAATGTAGCCACTCAGTTCATACTACAAATGAGTATGGTAGTCCTCTGATTAATTTTTATATGCAGGTATTCCTTGAATTATGCAATTGATGTGTTACAATGCATGAAGTCAAAGAGGGTGAAAGCACACAAATCAAACATAATTTTCCCTTCTCTCCTCACATTCATCCACAACCACCCACAGTACTCCCCCTTCTCCCCACCTCTCCTGATCTGCTAGCTAGTGATTCACATTAAAGAAAGTGCTACTGATTTAAATTGGTCTAAATTAGTTCAGCGCATCAAAATGAAATTGCATACTTGTATGCATATTATTATAGAGAACAGAACATCACAGAGACATGGACTGTATGTAATACCTGTTATTTTGTTTACGTATGAAATTGTGAAAATTATATGATCATTCTTTCTCCACTATTTAATGAACCCCTCAAGCCAGTGTTAAAATCACCACCCTCTCAAGTGGCATTTAAATTGTTACTGAGCACCCTCTTCACTTGTTCAAAATTTCCCACATTTTGTAAATTAAATACATTTTTGAGAAAAATTAATAACAGTATAAGCTGCATTGTATTCAGACTATTTTCCTTATTAGCCAGTCTGAAATACATTAGAATCAAGCAAAAGAGTCATGTTTGTTGACTGACCAAAGACTGCCAACTAAAAGAAAAAAGTCCTGCCTATATATACTGATTCTTGGATAAAACCACACATGGCAGGAAGCATCAAGGCCTGTAGAATGTCACAATTCACAGTTTCAGTACCTCAACAGAGAGCGGCAGTAGAGATTTATTTAAGACACAGTGTACCCATATATGTACAACCACTATAGTGGAATGTAATGAGCACCATGTACAGGTACAGTGAACCAGCTTCAGGGGTTAACACATACCCATAGATATTTAACTGACCATGAATTACAATTAATATTACTGCAAAATGTTACATTATACAGTGAAATGTTGGTAAAATGAACCACAGATATAAAAATGTATGTTAACACATAGACATTAGCTGTTACAGATTAGAAAAATGCTTTAGTTACAAATGTGCAACTTTCTATGAAAATATTTTTAATTGCAAGTTGCTATTTAAAGTATGAAAGTATTTGATGGAAAATCTGACAGTTTCTGCTACATCATTTATGACCTTCCCAGTCTTGAATTGGTAGAAACTCCAGATTCTTGTAATCTACTGACTCTACATGTCAGTTCACTCGTAGCATTCATTGCCTTGAAGCCAGTTATACTGAATAATAACAGTAACATTATGAAGACAATTATATTGATTCGTGGAGCTTCTGCATATTCAAAATAATGATGTAATAGAATTCTCTATTCTTACAACATGAAAAACACAACAATGAGTACTAGTCATGATTATACAAAGTTCTTGAGAAGATTAGTAGTGGGTTTATATAAATAAAACATCGGTTTGTCACTGGCTTATCTGAGCCTTCTATCCACTACAGTGTCCAAATTCAATAATTTGCATCAGGAGAAAAACCTGACTTTTTAAATTCCTTTAAATAATATTTAGGGTAGGGGAAATGAGCTTTATTTGTAATTTTCTATAGTAACTTTACAAGACTATGCTATAATTGCAGACTTTTTATTTATAATTATGAGTACAGCATAGGATCTCAAATCTGAGACAATATAATGTTGAATGAACATGGATTTATACATATGGCCTTATCAGTTCTATAATAAAACTGAGTTATCCAGAAAATGTGACATTGCATTTATGCTTGTTCTTTGTCAACAAAACAAAAAAGTGCTCTTTATATTACCAACATATAAACAAAGCACTTCCTTTCACACAGGTTTCTTTCAACCACCTAAGAAAACTTTTAGCTTTGGGTTAACAAACATACTTTAAAAAGTTCAGCATTTGTTATAGTCACATTACACTGTATCAACCGGCAATATTAGGGTTCATAAAATTTGTAGCTTCTAAACAGAAGCTACAGAATGTATGGTACATATACAATATAAGTAGACAGACTTTAATAGCAATAAATAATTTTAAATGCTCAAGAGAATATCCTGTAATGACAGAATAGCAATATAAAGTGTTAATTATGCCAAACGTTCCTTACACTTTGGAAATGATTCAGAAGTGTACAGTACTGAACAGTCTTCAGTCTTATGTGTAACTGATGAAGTAATATGTTACTTTCATTCTGACTGTTCTGATGGAACTTTCTATAAAGAATACCTTTTTTTTTCTTCCAACATTACTAGTGTTCAGCTGTCATCCAAAAATGTTACACATGCTTCATAGATTCTATTCCGGAATTCTTCAAATGCTCCTTCACTTTTAACTTAAACAACGGACAGTTTAGTAATGGACAAACACTGGTTACTTTCCTTTAAACACAAAATAGTCTTCCAAATGTCTACCACTGCAGCATTCTTTTATTTCTTACACACCTACCCACTGTTATTAGAAAGCCACCTCACACACCATACCTTCACACTTTCCATCCAATATTCTACTGCCTACAATTACCTCTGTGTGACACATTGTACCTCAAAATTGGAATTCTTGAACAACTGAAAGAAAATACTGCATATGCTTTGTAGAGTACACATTTGTGTGTGTGTGTTGTGTGTGCGAGTGTGAGGGTTTGGATAAAACAAAAAGAACAAGAGAAATGAGGCTTTCAATATATATTTAAAGAATAATTTTTGTTTTCATTAATGTAAAATAATTTTAGACACCTCCCTAACTTACAAGTACTCTATTTATACCAACACAAGTATTGTATATATTGTTCTGGTTACAAATGTGGGGAAGCGTAACAAGTTTTGTGGATGAACATGCATATTTCTCTACTATATATGTGGAATCAGAAGAACACTGCTGTACCAAGTCATGTATCAAGAGGAACAAGGGGTTCTCAAGGAAGAAATTAAGCAAAAATTTTAATTTTCAAATGGCAGGAGTTCCACTTTGAAGATGTACACATCTGCACTATATTTTTAAATAAACAAAATAAAATATACAGTATAAGTTACGCAGATATGGTTCTACATTTTGTTTTCATCAATAGTATACAGTAAACAAATCCAGTATTGTTTTGAGCACAACTGCTTTTTTTTCTGTCAACACTAAATGAGTTTACAGTACCTTGGTTGAGTGGAGAAAGGTGGAGTGAGGAGAGGTCAGTGGTCAGGGCTAATCAAATTCTAAATCCATATTGAAGTCTGAACGGTGTGAACTACGACTACTGCTGCTGCTGCTGCTAGCATTACCACCGGTTGTAGAGCCTGAAGAGGTTGAGGAGGTTGATGAAGATGTTGAAGAGGCACGACTGTTGGCAGAGTCATTAGCTGCTCTGGAAGAATTGTACTACATTTGTAATGTTGTTACCAGTGGATTTACTTATATTACTGAACCCTCTTAACCTTAACTGTTTCTGGTCATTACATAAAAACATTCGCTCTTACAGTATAACAGAATCTCTCTACTACAGATTCCTGCAGTACCTTAATTCAGCTTAGTACTAAATGTACTTTTCTCATAATCAGCAACATGCTACATCGACCATCTGTAGATAGTAACACTATGTCAAATAAAACCAATTTCTGTAATATATCCAGAAACAAGGCTTTCTCCTGTTATCTGCATAAAGTAAACAGAGGTTCCTAGTATGCTGAACAGAATGTTGCAGCTTACAATAGGTGCCGGTGAAGTGCATAACACATAATTTGCAAAAATTAAGTGCTTCTCCTAACTTACTCTATAAGGATACTGAAAGTTAAAAAATACCATGTGGGATTTCTAAATGACATGAGGGGTTCAAGTGGGGTCATAATGTGTATGTAAATGTGAAGTCTGGAAATGGACATAAATGCCAGCAGGCATTTCAAAAACAAAAACAGTGAATATCTGAGAGACAAAATTGACGAGCTCATAAAACAAACACTAAGAACGAGAACATTAGAGACTTGTACAGAGGAGTAAATGACTTTAAGAGGGGTTACCAGCCAAGAAGTAACTTACTGAAGGATGAGAATGGTGATCTGTTTGCAGATTCTCACAACATTTTGAATATGTGGAAGAACTACTTCTCTTGGTTATTGAATGTACATAAGGTCAGTGATGTTAGACAGATAGAAATACATACGGATGAGCCCTTAGTACCCGATCCTAGTCCTTTTGAGGTTGAAATTGCTATTGCAAAGTTGAAAAGATATAAACTGCATGCAGTGATCAGATTCTCATAGAAACGATTCAAGGAGGAGGTGAAATATTACATTTTGAGGTCCATAACCTCATTAATTCTATTTGGAATAAGGAAGAATTGCCTGATCAGTGGAAGGAGTCTATTATTGCACATGTTCACAAGAAAAGTGATGAAAGTGACTGTAGTAATTATTATGGGATCACTGCTATCAACTTCATACAAAATTTTATTTAATATCCTTCTCTCAAGGTTAAGTCCATATACAGATGAAATTATTGGGGATCATCAGTGTGGATTTTGATGTAACAGATCATCTACTGAACAGATCTTTTACATTCATCAGATACTGGAGAGAAAATGGGAGTACAATGAGACAATACATCAGCTATTCACAGACTTCAAGAAAGCCTATGATTCTCATTTCATTTCATTTATTCACCTTCCCTTCTGTTACGAGGGAGTATAGTACAATATTCTCACAGTTTGTGGTACCCATGAAATTAGTCAGGCTGATTAAAATGTGTTTAAACAAAACATATAGTGAAGTCCATATAGGTAAACATTTGTATCTTAATTCTCCTATCCAGAATGGTCTAAAACAAGGTGATGCTTTATCACCACTAATTTTTAACTCTGCTTTAGAATATGGCATTAGGAAGGTCCAGGAAAACCAAGTGAGACTGAAATTAAACGGGACACATCAGCTGCTGGTCTATGCAGATGATGTGAATCTACTGGGCGATAACACAGATACCATAAAGAAAAAGACAGAAACTTTGACACCAATAAGGAGGTTGGTCTACAAGTAAACACAGAGAAAACTAAGTATATGTTGCTGTTTTGTCACCAGAATGCAGGGCAAAATCATGACATAACAGATGATTCGGAAATGTGGCACAGTGCAGATATCTGTGAATGACAGAAACAAATCAAAACATGATTCAGGAGGAAATTAAGAGGAGAATGAATTTGGGTAATGCTTTCTACCATTTAGTCCAGAACCTTTTGCCTTCTCATCCAATTTCTAAAAACAAAAATTAAATATACAAAACTATAATTTTGCCTGTGGTTCTGTATGGGCGTGAAACTCTTCTCTCTTACATTAAGGGAGGAATACAGACTGAGGATGTCTGAGAATGGTGCTGAGGAGAATATTTGGACTGAAGGGAGATCGACATGAGGTTACGGAAAACTGCATGAGCTGCTTCATAACGTGTATTTTTTGTAGTGTAATTAGAGTGATAACATCAAGGAGGATGAGGTGAGCAGGGCATGTAGCATGAACAGAGATGAGGAATGCATATAGGATACTGGTGGGAAAGCCAGAAGGAAAGAGACCACTAGGAAGACCAAGACATAGGTGGGTGGATGATATTAAAATGGATCATAGAGAGATAGGACTGGATCAATCTGTCTCAGAATAGGGACAAGTGGAGGGCTCTTGTGAACACAGTAATGAACTTTCAGGTTCCATAAAATGCTGGAAAGTTCTTCAATAGCTGCACAATTAGTGTTTTCTCAAGAAGGGCTCAGCTCCATGATGTTAATTATTTTGTTTATGATATATTTAATGATCATGTCAGTATCTCAAGACTCAAATGGTAGGATGATAAACAATGATGAACTGGAAAAAACGTGGTCATGGCCTAATATGGGGTACTGTCCCGGCATCTGCCTAATGGGGATAAGGAAATCATGAAAAACCTGTCACAACAATAGGTGTCCTAATCAAAAGTTAACGCAGATACCTCCTGTACATAAGGAAGTGTGACCACTTATGCTTACTCAGTGTCAGAAGTGTTTACGAACTTAAACACGTCACAGACTGTTGTGCATCGAGTTTTATACTGCCACATGATGGAGATGGAAAAACTGTTCGAACGCCTACTTGCGAAAATGAGGGCCGATTAGAAGAAAGACAAAGATTTCCTGGCAAAGATGGACGCCGACAGAAAAACTGACAAGGAAGAAATGGAGGCCAATAGAAAGACTGACAAAGAGGGAATACTGAAGAAGATGGCTGATTACCATGCTAAGACACACCGTTTTGCTGGCCATGCAAGTGATGAAAACCGGCCACGGGGAGATGGTTGCCAAAACCAAACCAGAAAGAGACATGGAGATGATGCCCTGCCGAGAAACGATGGAGGCACATCTAGAAGAAGAGACGACAGCCTGCCAAGAGACGGAGGCAAGTCTAGAAGAAAGAGAGGCGACCTCATTGAACAGGAAACCTGAGGTGGCCCAACAACGAGAGGTTTCCGTAGAAGATACCACAGTGATGCCGGTCGGAGAACAGAAGAAGAAAAGGCACAGGGACCGAAAATTGGCCACGGAGCACCACCGCCAGAAACCAAAAAATACGACATGGAAAAATTGTGGACCTCAGAAGAAATTGGACATCGCCTGCAGAGGGATGAGTTGCCATGCGAAAGTGGCATAGCAGACAAAGGAAACCGGCAGAAAGATGTCCGGTCATCCAAGAATCGCCTGACGCAAGAGAAGCGTCAATAGGAGAAACTGCATCAGAACAAGTATGAGGAAAGAATATGAGGACTCAGAGGAAGAGTGCGGATTATCCACAAAGGAAGAATGGGAATAAAGAACATAGGTGGCAGGTGGCTGCTACGTCAGAAGAAAAAGGTGACAACCAAGAACGCCATCGGAGGGTGTAGATCAGGACAGCAACTCAGAAAATGATCTCCTACAAGATTGTCAGCAGGAAGATCACGAAGCAAATAACCGGATCTTCTGTCGGATTATGACAAAACAAGGATTGGACCTTGTGGAGGGGATGACCCCTTCCAAAACAGAAAAAGAGACTTCAAGCAGAGGAGGAACTGGTAATGTAGAAGGACTGGCCTCCCCAGAGAGAGTGAATGTGCGACGGATGGATGTGGGGGACGAATGTGATGCAACTGGATCTCCTGACAAGTTAGCAGGAAACCACTCGAGACGAGCTGGTCTTAAGAAGGGAGCAGATGTAGCAGTTGAAGAACAGACAATGGGAAGAAAGGAAACACCGAGCCAGAAAAAAAAGAAGAAAATGTTGCATGCATAGCCTTGGAAGAAAAAGACCGGTGATGCACTGTTAGGCTATTCGGAATGAACAGCCTTAAAAAGGGAGCAGTGTGACATATCTAACCGTTGCTGGGCAACAGGAGGTGGAACGAGTTACCATGAAGACAGACCCTTGATAAACGGTCGGTTGCTGGTTTACGCAACAGTAAGGAAAGCGGTGTTTCTCCGTGCTGTGCCGAGTAGAGCCGAGCCGAAGCGCGCTCGTTGCTATGCAGCGTTGCCCAGCAATGCCTTTGTAAACACAGCGTCAGGCAACAGGGGACCCTGTGCAACGACTGTTGCTAGGCAATCGATAAACACGATGTTACACAACAGTGGTACCTATCATGTAACTGTTTTCTGTGTTCTCCGTGCCGAACCTAAATAAGGAGCAGTGAACACTATTCAGAGTCAGTGAGTTACTAGAGAGAGAGTAACCAGTCAGTTGCAGTCTAGCATTCGCCGGAGCGAATGAAAGTATTTGTGATACTTCCGATGGCAGTAACTGTGAAACTGTGAATTGTATGAATGTGTATGAATGTGAAGAGCGAATGTGTAATAAATTCACTATACCCAATATGGCGTGAAGTTATTTGTCACGTGACATATACCCAACCCGTGACAATTTGGTGTCAGAAGTGTCTGAACGGTGTCTTCAGTGGCAAAACACGTTACAGTATTCTATAACAAGATCTCACAGCAAGAATCGATACTCTAGACTAATTTTATATAACTCTGCATGTTATGTATATGAAGTATTAGTGTGGGTCTGGGGGGGGGTCAACTTATTGCTGCTCTAGGCAACTTTTAATGTTCATGTCAGCTGCAATCCATACAATGTCATTTATTCCATTCAAAATCTATAACACCATACTGTACCTAGAACACTTATTTGTATTTTAGCAACTCTGGTCAAAATTTGAGAAATGAGAATATTATTGTTAAATAGTGCATCATATTTAACAATCTATGTTGATCTCCTAAAATAAATGATTACAAATAAAATGAAAACTTTTTCCATGGAACACAAGTACATCAACTATTGTGTTAATTGAGGCTTTGAAACATCAGTTGATGTACTTGTGTCCCATGGAAAAAATTTTCTTTTTATTTGTAATCATTTATTAATCATGTATTAATTTCAATCATATTTTCTATCCATCAGACAACTGTTCTATTCTACACAATTTTATAACATGATTTTCAAGCTTACATTTGCATGGTCCTTATTTTATCAGGGTGACATGACATGTACTTTTTAGCAAGATGTTTATGTTAAGATCATGGTTTTCTGGGACATGATGCTATGCAGGTACCAATATTTTGGAGAAACCTGTTGCTTCCATATTCAGAGCAGATGTAACTGACCAATGCCTTAAACTGAGTACTCCTTAGTTCATATTATAAACAAGCAAACTGTCGGCAGTTCATTAAGAAAAAGTTGCAGCTTATGAGGTAATTTCCAGGGATGTTGGAATAATGGCTGTGATCAGTCTTGCCTAAATGTTACTCTATACAAATCACTCCTTCAGTTTAAAAACTCTTGTGAAATCTCTGTCAATTTTATTTATCCTACAGTGTTTGAATACCTGAAAAAAGCCGCAAGACTCGGACCCACATTACTCATGTTATTGCCTCCAGCACCAGGCTGATGATCTTCTAAACCATCATCACCCAAACTTTTTCTGCAAATGGGACATGTCCCATGCTGCGGAAAGAATAAGTCAGCATGAACAAATCATGTTACACATAGCAGTGAAACCTTTCTCCATTACATTAAATTGCATATCTAATTTTAAACATCTGTGCCCCTTAAAATCTCTTCTGCCCTTAAGATATTCTCAGTATCTTCTGGTGCAGTCTTCTTTTTGGACTTGAGGCTGTAACACTTAAACAGCAGAAAACAGAAAACTCTGCACTAATATTTCCACCCTCATATCTTCCATTTGCCTTATTCATGTAATGCAGAAACTTCCAATAATATGTTACGTGGTATTTATATAGTTATAATACTATATTTGAGCATCCTGTTACACTCGCACAATATATATAAGATAAACACCGTCTTAAGTGTAACAATTTTATTGTAGTTCTTTCTACAATAAAACTACAATAAAATCGTTACACTTAAGACGGTGTTTATCTTATATATATTATATAGTTATGTTTACCAATAATTTCTGTCTATTTACTTTTACTTGCTCTTTTTTCTGGGGGACAACTTTGCCCAATTTTGTTTTACTAATTTTAACAATTACTAAATCATTATTTATAACAATCATAAAATTCCCCTCTGTAGTACACCTACGCAGAAAACTATCGGCACCAAAGTACAAAAATTCTTACACCAGACATATATCTTCCACGTGACACATCATCATGGGCTCTAGAACAAAATGATACATATACGTAACCTCAAAATACACGGCTGTCTACCCATTACTACTAATCACTAACATGTCACTGGCAAGTAACTTTCCTTCCAGCCGCATTAACTTACTTTTCGATATACAATAACAGTGAATGTGGAATAGAAAAACAACAGCACTACAGTGTATTCATAACTTCCCAACAGCTTATGACATTTGTTACCAGCCTCTCAGTGGGCAATTTAATTGCCTGGCCCAGGTTTATTAAATGACAGAGAACTTTTAATGCATTCATTTTTCAGCAGAATGACACACAGGAATCTGAAACTTTGTACATGCCTTCTTGAGATGTTTTAGTACACTCTGAGAGTGTGGTATCTGGGGTATCACATTTCCCAGGGTGTAGAACACCACACTTTGAACAATATTACCTACTTTCACAATTTTTTAACATGCTCTAGATCTTCTGGAGATTCAGGCATTTCATTGTCACATGATACACCAGAGTCAGATTCTGGAATTAAATTGTCTTCAGAATCTTTGTTAAACAACACCTCCATTATATGATTGACACTCAACATCTTCTGCTTGTCATGACGTGTGATGAGACGTGAGCAGACAAACTGTCGAACTACGTGCTTAATGAAACAACAAAGGATAAGGAAGGTTAATAACAGCAACGTATTACAAGGAAGGCCAAGGAAACGTGCATAAACCATCTATGAATATAGTGACCCACTACGCGATATAAGCATCATTTAAATGAGAAATGTTCATGTGCATTGCCATCTGACCTAAGCCATATAGTCCACTACATTTAACCAGTTATAAACATTTTACAAATATACTGAGCCCTACTATAACTTCTATAATAGAGGTGTCCAGAAATTTGTGCTTATGGACTTCACCACGCTATTCCTTGGATGCTCCATGATGAAATTTCAATCAGCACATAGTTTTCATGGAAAACACAATTAAAGTCAAATGAGATACAGTACTTGTATTTGTACCTACAGATGCCACCTCAATTCTTTGATGAACATTTCAGAGTCTTTTTATGTACTGGATAGGAGTGGTCATCCAATTTGTAAACTTGTAGTCAGTCACTTCTTGTAAAACTACAGGAATATAAATATTCTTCTTGCAAAACTGAGTGCAGAGATGTAAGAATTATACAAATGCACAAAGCCATTTCATTAATTTAAACTGCATTATCAAATAAGTTATCACCCCTCTCTTGTGTATCTCTTATATTCTTTTTGACCAGTGCTCCAATTTTATCTTCTCTTATTTCAATACTGAAAAATTAATCTAAGTTAATGTGTAATTATTATTATTATTATAAGAATAATTTGAATATTAATATTTATTTTTGGCTAAGTACATAATGATTAAGCTTACCAATTCAAGCCATGGAATAATGCAATTTTCATGATATACATGTTCACAAGGTAGTTTGCGAACTGGTTCATCTAGCCTAAAATCTTCCCAGCAGACTGAGCATTGCAGATTCTTTCCTGTGGACAATCCATTGAAAATAAAAATTCAACACAGATTTAAACTACAAACAATTCAAATACTGTGAGTACAAGGATGTAGAATGTTACGTATAATTCCAAAACACTATTAAAACTTCTATGCTACCACCCACTACTTTATGAAGATAATTATGGTTCCTGGTGTGGTAATTAATTGAAGATATGTGATAACAGTAATACAGTGAATCAGTAAAATACTTTCAATATTGATACACACAATAAGTAGCCATTGGTTGTGCAGGATATGATTGCCTTCGTTGTCAGTATTACAAAATACAGTAACTAAAGCTTAGGGTCGCATGATAGCTCAAGCAGTTAGTCACTGGCTTCCCACTGCTGCAGCCCGGGTCTGGTCAAATGGGATTTATGGTGGACAAAGTGACGCTGGGGTGGGTATTCTCAGAGTACTTCGGTTTCCCCTGCCAATCTTCATTCCACCAAATTCTCCATCATCATAATCACCCAGGGCATTTACAATAGGCCAATCAGTGGCTGCTGTGCCGAGTGGACCCAGTTGGACTCCAGCCCCCACTAAGCAAANAAAAAAAAAAAAAAAACTTAAAAGAGGGGAGAGGAATTAGGGAATCAAAGTTTAATCATAATTTAAGAGGACAAAAAGACTGGGAATAAGGATTCAAATCCACACAAAAACTGCCACAACACATGCACATTGCTTTGACAGCTATGGCTACATACTGGTAGGGGTACAAAGTGAACTTCATATCTATGGGTGCTCTCCATTAGGTCCATGGCAGGAAAGAGTTAACAGAACAATTTAATTTGTATATATATCAAATTTCAGTACTCTGTCCTTCTGACAAAATAAACGAACTCACCAACTTGGTCTTGTGTTATCACAACAACTGGAATTTCTTTGATCTTATCTTTGGCCAATGGAGGTGGCCCAGTACCATCCATCTGATTCAGTAGTTGTGTGACAATAGCATCCAGGCCTTCACGACCCCATGCATAATCCCCAGGATTTCCCAGGAAAAAACTGTAATCCAGAAAACATGTTTGAAAAATCAAAGTTCAGTATCTTTCATACTTCTTGCATTTATGACAGTAAGTAAAAAGTAAAGGTATCCCTGTAACAGGCTGTGGAGGCCCACAGGGTTGTAAGATGTTGAGGTTCCAACATTTTCTAGACAATCGGCTCATAGATGGTGGCAAGGTTGTCAGCCTTATGCCCTTTACCCCCAAGAATATTCCAAGCAGTCCATAACTGTTTTCTACACAGAACTCAATTGAACATAGAGCGAACTCATGATTATCTGTGGTAATAGAGGGGAGTAGTGCAGATAACTAAAAACAGATGGAAATGCCCAAACTGCATTCAACCCTGAAAACTGTTTAACTATTACTTATTACAGATGAATATTTATTTGATATCTTTACTGTTCAAAATGGTCTAAAATAAGGAGATGATGCATCACAATTTATTTTTAACTTTGCTTTAGAGTACACCATTATGAAGGTCCAAGAAAACCAGTTGGCGACTGATACTGAATAGGACACATCAGCTTGTAGTCTATGCTGATGATGTAAATCTATTGGCAGAAAAAATATATATACCACAAAGGGAAAAAAACACAAAAGCTCCAACTGACAGTACGGAGGTTCTAGAAATAAAAAAAGAGAAAACTAAGTATACCATAATGTCAAATGAGTGTGTATGCATAACTGCACAAGTGTTTGGGGGGGGGACATCACAGCATGTGTGCATGCATCGCCACCAAACTTTCCACACTCCTTCCTCCCTTCTCACAACTTTCATAGACTCAGTGTGCCTAGTCTCTTTCGAATTATTCCAGAAATACAGCTCTTATAAAATCACAGTCATGAGGCAAGGAGAGGCAGTGCAATTGAGTCTACAAAGTTCACAATTTGCAAGTGGCAAAATAGGATGTGCTGTGAAAAGCAAGTAGTGAGTTCTGTACCATCAGACAGAAGGTAATATATGTAGAAACAGAATAGTGCAAAAGTATACAAGTGTAAGAGCAGTACATTGAAATAAATTAATATCAAGATCATGACAAACTGTAAATAACAGGGTTTGAGGTTCTCTACAGCAGTGGTCATGAAGAGATACAACATCGCATAGTCCAATGAAAGTCAATAAATGCTATGGAGGTACATGTCGCTTCCATCTTTAGCACCAAACAATAAGGCAAGCAAGAAACCTGTGTGAACCGAGCTGCAGCACAGCTTTAATAGTGGGTATTTTGAACATGTTTTGTAACAACCTTGAAACCTAACTGTTGTCAGCATTTAAAATGATGTTAATAAAGATGAGCTGAAAAGATATTTTTTATTCAATGCTACACTAAGCTAGCATTTAATTCCATAAGTGTCAAATTACCCTATTGTCTGTTAGACATTTTTGCTCCAAATGATCTGTGGAACATTCTGCTGCAATTTGGCCAGCACATTGTAGAACTATATTATGGGAAAACTGTTACACACTCTTTTTGCTCATGAAACTATGTAAAGTACAAACAGATACTTAAATTTTTTAGAGCTTTCTATGTTACTGATGGCTGCATCTTATCCACAAATATCACAATATGCTTTTGCAAGAAATCAGAAATAGTGTCACACTTTCTAACTAAAAAAATAGCAAATTCATGGTAGTCTAGAAGAACTATATTTGAATAAAAAAATCTGCACCTGAATACAGAGTTACGAAGTTACAGGGACAGCTTTACAATATAGCACTAAGGTCTAAATGATAATGTGAATATAGCAGCATCCTTTCTTAAACTTGCATAACCTCTTCTACTCACAACTGGTAATTATGAGCTGCCCTTTATAAGTCCTACCCACTATTGCATGCTCACTAAGTCCCATTCATTTTCTGCCCATATTTCATAAGAACAAATGTATTGACCTGCATTAATCTTTGGTAACTGATGTAACAAGCAAAGCTCTTTAAATCATATCAATACAGAATTCAACTATATACACTACACTCTAAGTTTTTCTGAACATGATTGGAACACACCTTTTTACATTATGTACATAAAAGACAGCTGTCAAACAGTCATTATACTTGACTGTAAACAACACTGAAGAAGTTAATCCATACTGACCTCCTGTTTCACTTTCTGATGAGCTACCATCTTCACAAAGACATATTATTAAAAGCTTTGTATTCAGGTCGAATTTCTCCAATCTCATTGATATAATTACAGTTCTGTAAAATATTTCAGGTGGCACCAACCAAAACACATTATGGTTGATGGGGAAAAAGTTTTAAACATATGCCTGCGTAATTGTATTCTGTGACATCACTGTCCAAGGTCAGTGGATGCTTCAAGGAAGGGTAAATGAGAAAAAACAGGCAGCTAGTTAGGAATAGTTCATTATGTTTAAGGTACAGGAAAGGCAGCCCTCATTTTATGCAATGCTTTTCTATATAAGTAATATTATGAAAATGACAGTTCCAGTGGTTTCTGCCGCTACAATGAAGTCTTATTATAAGTCATACTCACTGTACAGCAGTTTCACTATACTTAGAACACAAGAACAATATGAAACACGATTAAACATAGAGCAGTAAAAAATAAAGCATTACAGTAGTATTTTTGACATTATTCCTGGCACTTCCCTCCATGAACAGAAATTTGTGAACCCCTCACTTTTTGTAATAAGCGTAGATGTTTTTATTTGTTAATATATTTCTGCTTTAAGTTCTGTGTATTTTATGGTATACCGTGACTTTCCAAAATTTTGTAACCACATGAACCATTACTCTGAGATTGAGAAACACTACATTACAGGATAAAAGTACTTACACTGGGGCATTGCCACCACGTGCTCCACCTAATGCACCCCATCCTACACCCGTTAAGTTAACCAGGAAGTCTTGAATCAAATTCTCAATTGGTGCCATCTGTCTACCTCGAGGAACTCTGGAAATGTAAAAACTGTAAATTACAATCATTTTCATACACTAACAATAAATGGCTTCTCCTCAAGAAGGGCACAACTCCGTAAGTAAGTAAGTAAATTAAATTCGCGTAGTGGGGGATGGAGTCCACCTGGGTCCGTTCAGCATGGCAGCCACTGATTGGCCTGTTGTATCTGCCCCGGGTGATTATGATGATGGAGAATTTGGTTGAATGAAGATTGGCAGGGGAAACTGAAGTACTCGGAGAAAACCGCCCCAGCACCACTTTACCACCACAAATCCCACTTGGCCAGACCTGGGATTGAACCNGGGATGCTGTGGTGGGAAGCCAGCGACCAACCGCTTGAGCTATGGCGTGACGGTAAGTAACTAAATAAGTTGGCAGCGCCATAACTCAAGCGGTTAGTCACTGGCTTCCCACTGTGGCGGCCCGGGTTCAATCCCAGGTCTGGTCAACTGGGATTTGTGGTGGACAAAGTGGCACTGGGGCAGGTTTTCTCAGAGTACTTCTGTTTCCCCTGCCAATCTTCATTCCACCAATTGCTCCACAATCACCCTCACCTATCATCTGGGGCTGGTACAGGGACTTAGTCCCACTCCACTAGCAATAAAAAAAGTAAGTAAGTAAGTAAGTAACAACAAAGAACAGGTTTGTAAACATCTACTGATCAGGACTTATGCATTTAGTTTGGTCCTAAAAGCAGTTCAAGTTAGCACACACAAAAACCTTGAGCCATGACATGAACATTTATAACCAACTAAGTGTAGTTCATTGTAATGGAACTTGCTGAAGGAGCATACATGTTCCAAGAATGTTAATATCACAAAATATTTAATAAAGATGAAGACACAGAATGTGACTTGAATGAACCCGAAATAGTCAGAAGTAGAATAAATATAACCACACTCCCCCACAGCACAGTGATATATCATCGTTCCAATCATTCTGGTAACAGACTCACCATATTATCAAATGGAAATAATTACAAACATCTTCCTAACAAAAAATACTGTCAAGTGGTGTGCAATACAGTAATGGTCTTTTAGGTCCAGCTTATGAAAGGAATAGGTATATAAGATGATCATTTTGGTCCCCATATAAACTTTAATGAAACCTACTGTCCTTAATTTTCGTTATGATTAGTTGTACCATCAGGATTCTACCTCAGCATCATCTGTCCTCATACAAATTGGAAGTACCTTGGCATTCTTTCAACACAAGTGCAGAAATTATATTTTTCAAAGCATATTTCTGAACATGGTCACAGTTAAGTTTCTATTATGATCATTCTCATCACAAATTGAAAATGACAAGGGAAGGGGGGAGCCCAACACAGTTCACACATTCTGGAGAAAAAAAAACACGGCACTCAGTATACTGTTGATTGAGGTGGACTTTATCCAGACAGAAGAATAAGACAGTAAAAATTTTAAGTAAAATAAAGAAAAATGATACAATCAGAGCAGAAAAGCTACTGCAGCCAATAATCTGGAAGTCTGATATTTAATGAAACCTCAGTGAGAACTGATATAATCTACACTTCACAGTAACTCTTCATAAAACATTAATTATGAATTCCCTACTAACTACTGATTCTGTCATCACAGTGCTGAGAAGGAAACCAACAAGCAAGACCAAAGATGTGTTTTAGGTTACAAGAGGAATAGCATGGAAATATGACAAAATACTAACTTACTTTCTCTCGAAGTACATGATAAAAACAACTTATTCTGTTCCATTCAACTTGTTGGGTGTTTTGCATATCTCCCATCACATGCACCAGAGACTGTTGTCGCAATATGCGACCTCACCTGTTTCTCATAATCCTTTGCCTTGGAATGATACTGCCGTACCTTCCAGGTCGGCGAGAATCCGACCCATCGCGGTCTCTCCCACGCAGTGCTCTTCTTTCTTCATTGCTCCCACCAACACCAAGAAGAATTTCATTCAACTCCTCTCCAAGGCGCTGGCTTAGAAGCTGTCAAGAACAGAATTTGAACATCAGCCTTCTAAGGACATGTTTACAAGAAACATGCTCCAACTGTTGAAATTTTATTAGCCACCTTATTTGTAAATTAAAATTGGCAGTTCATCTTGAATGCCAGTTACTTACCTTCAATTCTACTTCAGCAATATGAAAAATCTTGTGAAGTGATTGAGGGATAAGATAAAAAAACAAAGACTAAAATATATAGCGCATACTTAATAGGTGTCTTTTGCAGAAACAATTATAGATGGAACAATTAGACAAGGAACTTTTCCTTTGTAATAAATACATATTCAATTCACATGCGACTATTCACTGTCAGTTCAACCTGGATAGAATTCAGAACTGCAGGCCTACACTGAATGAACAAAGAACAAATACTGGGAAAACTTCTGTCTTTTGGGATATAACACCATGTAGTCCACAGAAATTCAACCAATGTCCCTCCCTCTCAGATGTCAGTTAACTTTCAATGTACTACATGCGATATCCCAGCACACAGAAGTCTTCAGAGCCATTGTTGTGAGAACCAAAAATCCTATAACCAATACTAAGACTTCACTGTTCACTATTTCTACTTACTTACTTACTTACTTACTTACTAATGGAGCTGAGCCCTTCTTGAGGAGCCACCAATTCTGCAGCTACTCAAGAATTTCCCAGCACTTTATGGAACCTTAAGGTTCATTACCCTGTCCACAAGAGCCCTCCACTGGTCCATATCCAGAGCCAGATCAATTCAATCCCTACCCATATCCAGAGCCAGATCAATCCAATCCATACCCATATCCTGAGCCAGATCAATCCAATCCATACCATCCGTTCACTATTACTATACACATACTAAAAATACTGTCACATGTTTGGAATCCAGAAGAGTTACTTCCATGGAAACGCTAGAACAGACCACAGCATAGAAGTAACAATAGCGGTATTGTAATCCCAACAGTGGGCCGTTGGGTAGGAATTGCAGAATCAATGAAGCAGCGTTTCCCCAGTGATAGACAACAGAAGGTTCACTGTGTAGCAACGACCATGGATATATAACAAGGTGATGCATTTGCCAAGACAGTCTTGGGATAACCGTGACTGAGGATAGCTGAGGTGTCACATTGAGTATTAGAGAACTGAGAATTGAGTACTGAGACAGAAGCCAAGTGATAATACAACTAACAATAATTGTAGAGTGTACGAGTGAGTATCCAAAAAAGATTCGCTAAATCCGAGACCCACATGAAGTTATTTGTCACGTTACATACCCAACATGTGACAATACTTTTGTTTTTTCTTAATTGTTACCTTTTATGAAGTATACCCATTATGACTGTGAATCAAAAACTGTGGCATGACAATCAATAACACTTTAAATAAATATATATTTATGTACAAGTAGACCTACTACTTCATCTTTAATTATTATCAAGAATAAAGAGACTCCAATAATCTACAGCTGCGTTCAGAAGACCACTGCTGACTGTTCATCATACAGTTCAGAAATGTATAGACACTGCTCCTTTGGTTTAACAGTCTAAAGAGTTGTAAGGGCAAGGGCACACCAAGGAAACTGGCAACTGCAACACAACCGCAATTTCCAAGAATTGTTATCAGCCTGAGTTGAACACGTTACTGAATGGAGCAGCGCAAATTGAGGAAATGTGCAATGCAGTTTAACCAAAAATGGAAAACTGCAAAACATCAAATTTTACAGCTTCAGCTGTTCTCAAATTCTTCCATGCATACAGACAGATTAAAGATGATTAAAGAGATGTAATAAACTTGTAAGATTTGAGGCTTTCACGGCGGTGACTATGCAGAAAGCAGTTTTCTGGGATTTGGCACCGTGTATATGTGGTGTCAACCGACGTTTCAGAGGAACGTATCGCCTCCATCTTCAGGGTAGAAGATTGCTTCTACCGGTTCTCACGGTCTCTTCGCTTGCAGATTTCTTATATTTTTTCTTCTACCCTGAAGATGGAGGCGATACGTTCCTCCAAAACGTCGGTTAACACCACATATACACGGTGCCAAATCCCAAAAAACTGCTTTCTTGTAATAAACTTGTTTGTGCTCTGTGGAGTTGTGTATGCATCTAAAATGTAAATAACTACACAAAACCACAAAGTATCCTGTATTGGCCTATACTAACAGTTCATACCTGTATACAAATTGTCACTGAAACTTTATACTGATTGATTAAAAACAAAACACCAAATGCTTTGCAATACTATGTTTGTAAGGTAAAAGGTAAAGTTGTCCCTGTGCTTAATTAATTAAGTACCATGCCACAAAAATGCATCTTTCACAAAATTCAATAATTTTAACACATATTCCAGAACTCTCAGTCTTTCTTAAGATGATTTATATATTTCACTTCGTTCTTTATAGGGGGTACGGGGTAGCATAGTTGGTTGAGGCACTATGCTACAAGCTGGAAGGTCACAGGTTCAAGTCTCGATGAGGTCATTGGATTTTTTTTTTTTAGTTGACCTAATTCTTCCGGCCACACTATGGCCCTGAGGTCGACTCAGCCTCTAACAGAAATGAGTATCAGAAATTAAATCATTTTCCTGGGGAGTAAAGCGCGGCCAGCGCGTAAGGCTGACAACCTTAACGCCATCTATGAGCCGACTGTCTGGATAATGTGGGACCCTCAATGTCTCACAACCCTATGGGCCTTCACAGCCTGTTACAGGGATAGCTTTATTTTTTTAACCCTCTTTATCATGATACAAGAAAGTGAATTTATTATGAGAATACCAAAATAAAATACTGTTGATGCCAACCAAGAGAACCGAAATGAATGCAATCTATTATGTGCACTTTCTAATATGTGTATTAGCATCAAGGTTAAAGCACATAAATGTTGAAAACCCTATTTAAAAGACACTGGATTAATCAGAAAAACCCATCTGCACTAAGGACAACACAAATGTATGTCTAGTGGTGCCACAGTAATCAGCCCAGAATTTTCTTCATCAGTTCCACATGATCATTTGGGCAAGCTGCAGTCTTCTAACAATCCAAAAATGTGCATCATTAATTACAGCTATGAGGTCAAGAAGAGCACTTATCAAATTCAGTTTCTAAAGTTAAGGGAATAAACTACTGAAAAAGGGATGCTGCCAGTTGAATAGTAAAGTTTAAAACAGAAAACACCCAAAAGTATAAAATTCTAAAAGCAAAATCTGAGATGTAAAGTGAGTGATACAACGATCAGATAAAGAGAAGACGAGGCAAGAAAGCTGTCTATACATGCACCAAACACATGTGGAACACATGGCAACGAAAATGTGAAAAGTGATTTCATGGCATTTAAAGAATTCTTGGATAATTTCTGAAACAGACACCATAATCACACTGTAGAGAAGTTGGAAACATTCATCCAGAAACCTGTTTCACACTAAAGAGTCACAGATAGTCCTTCCAGCTGCACCATGGCCCTGGGGTCAACTCGGCCTCTAACAGAACTGAGCACCAGGAATCTTCCTGGGTTAAAGGGCGGCAGACATGTAAGGCTCACAACTTTACAGCCATCTGTGAGCTGTCTAAAAAAGTGGGAGCCTTGACATCTCACAACCTTATGGGCCTCCACAACCTGTTACAGAGATAGCTTTACCTCTGCCTTTTATGTACCAAGGAATTCCACAAATGATGATAAAAAAGTAGAATTGTCCCTGTGCTTAATTAATTAAGTACTATGACATGACAACACATGGGGAAGTGAGAGTAGAGCTCCACTATTCTTGACCTCAACACTAGATGAAAGTGAGTGGTCATCTTCATGCCACAGCCACTTTAGCAGAAGGGAAATTGTCCCTGTCATCCATTAGACAGGAGTCTGGGTGGGCCCCAGAGCTTGTCTGGATGCTGTGGAGAACACAAAAGTATTGTTTCCTCCAGGATTCAAACCCTGGCCATCCAGCCTGTAGCCCATCACTAAACTGACTGAGCTGCCCTGATAAAATAGGATTATTTTTCTGCCATACACAACTCTGTCTGAAAGGTGATGTGTAATGCTAACACACTGTCATTTACATAAAGCCATTCCACACAACCTCTGTTTGAATGCCAAGTCACACCACCACTTGGACAACAAGCAGGTGGTGCTCCTGACCTTGGCACACAGAGCCACCACCACCTGCAGCCAGTACAGTTTTCATGATGAACTGGACCTACTTCAGGGGATCTTTCAAAATAGCAGTTACAACACCAGATAGGTCTGTCACGCTTTCACTCCACCTCATAAGCAAGCAGGAACATCTAGAGAGGACTCTGTATTAGTGGTCTTCCTGCCTTTGGCACAAACATCTTAAACCTGACGTGTCCTATATCATGTAACAATTCTCACAACCGATGAAACAAATAAATAAATAAATAAATAAATAAACCATGACAGCAGAGTACAATCCAAGCACACCAAGATGGTGGTCATTCCACCAAGTAAAAACTCTGCTTCCCTTGTTCAGTGAAGGATGATCAGGCCATGAAAATGCTAGGCACAAAATAGCAGTCTTTTACACTTTCAGACATGAACATTCTATATTTACCTCAATCGGAGCCACATCTTCCATTTCTGTATCGCTGTCATCTGTGAGGTCTGGAGGTGCCTCCAACTCCTCAATAAAACCACTATAGCAGTTAGGACATGTAAAATCCTGTAATGACACAACATGTTAAATTCTGTTACTCCAGTATAGCTTCAATTTCAAATAAAAGTAAACAAAAAATTTGCTCACTGAAAACTGGGATGGGCTGAAGATGAGGAAATAAGAACTATGTGTTGTGAATTCTAATGACCATTATTTGAAAAGTCACATTAGATGCATATACATACCAAAGGAAGAAACAAATGTTACGTGCAGCTATTATTTACAGCTGTCTTATTCATTTTCAGTGCATCCAATTGAACGATAAATCAATTTATGAGTACTGGAATGTTAAAATCAATTAAAAAATTGACACTTTGTTTCCTGAACAACATAGACAGTTCATGCACACTGGCAGTACTGTTATGCTTTAACACATAAAATCTTAAAATTACTATATCTTTCTAAGCAAAAAATTCAGATCCAATAATATTATATTGTAGCATCCTGTTGCACTTTTCACTTAGTGCCAATTAGTTTTTCAGTCTGAAGTGCAACACTATGTTCTATAAAATTTATTAAGTTATTCACATTAAAAGTCTGTCACTACATGTTTTGAACAATGTGGTCATCATCAGATGTTAAAATTATTATTACGCAAAGAAACTGCTGTCTTCTGTTGTTGTTTATGTTGTTCACATATAAGTCTGTATATTACAGCAAGATGCTACTGTACAGTCTTTTTGATGTGAACAATATATTCATGAGAAATACTGTGTATAAGGCAGTGGAAATGAGTGGAGACAATACATATGTTGATGCTGCTTTTGAAAGGGTCTTGGCAGAAATGCAGACACACTACATTTAATTGGTTTGTTCCTGCTACACCCTAGCATAGATGGTTGAGGCACTATGCTACAAGCCAGAAGGCTGCAGGTTCAAGTCCCGATCAGGTCATTGGATTTCTTCAATTGACCTAATCCTTCCCGCAGCACTATGGCCATGGAGTTGACTCAGCCTCTGACAGAAATGAGTACCAGGAATATTCTTGGGGATAAAGGGCGACCGGCGCATAGGGCTCACATGAATACTTTGTTACAAGCTTCTATTAAAAGTCATTTCTGTTTTCTCAGTTCTGTAAGGATGGCTGTACACAATGTAGGGGCTTAGGGTTTTATTTATATAGATTAACATGATAAATTCAAGGAAATGATCTGGGTACATGAATTATACGTTGTTGAGAATTGCTTGTCATAGGTTTGGTGGTGTGTATGATGTCTGTCTTTGTTGTGAATTTTAATGTTTTCTAATCTAACTGTTTGGATGATATGGCTTGCCAGTATGTGTGGAGTGGCAGGTTGTGGGTTTGACAGTGGTTTTCCCGCCACCTGTGTGTTGTGCTGACAGGTTGGGCTGTCTGTGTGAGGCCTGATTGTATGTTTTATTGGACTGGGGATGAGTGATGTGTGGTCATCATGAAATTGTAATTTTGTAATTTTATAAATGCAATGTTTTTATATCTTGGATTTGTTATATATGTTTAAGCTATATGACCAAAATATTCTGTTACTTTTGATGGAAACTTTTATCTTAAATTTTAATCAATGATAAATTTGAACATATTATGCTAGAGAGAAATTGTATTATGATGTAATCCATTGTACATTACATACATTGTCTTATTTTATAAGTCTTCTTGACAACTGCTTAAGAGTATTAGCAAGATAAATTGACACAATTCTGTATCTAAGGCTTTTGCCTACTATAGATGTAACAGAATAAGGAAGAAATAATAAATAAATAATAATAATAATAATAATAATAAACCTTGCTACCATCTATGAGCTGACTGTCTAGAAAATGTGGGAACCACAACATCTCACAACCCTATGCATCTCCACAGCCTGTTACACGGATACCTTTACTTTACTTTAGTTACATCACTTGAAACTGGAAGATGACTGATCAAGAGTGTCTGATAAAACACTGCCACGGTTACCACACTCATACACGAAAAAGCATATGTGTTTTTTTTTTTTAATTCTGCAGGGTTCTGTCACATGGTGGAAGCAGTTGTATTCACATTACTCCAGCCTAACTGTGTATAGTATACAAGCATCTTGGTGAATTTAAGAATCTCACAGCAATGGTTATGGAGAGTCCTATCTTCTGGGATATAATGACATGTAGTCTGCTGAAACTCAACTAATGTTTCGAAAGAACATATCACCTCCATCTTCAGAGTTGAAAAATAAGTCAAGCAAGATACCAGTGCGAATACAAGCAACCTGCTTTCACGTTGGCATCTTGCTCCTCCATCTTCAGGGTTGAATAATATAGGTGGACATCTCCTATATCAATGTATTTTGATCTAATGGATAAAATAGAAATGAATGACTAAAGAGTACACCAAACAAGAAACCAGCATAAAGCAGACAGGCTTGCTGATATAGAGAACTCTTTTTGGAGGCAATTAAGATTATACATGAAAACTCAAGCAGCATTAAAGAGTTCAAAAAATGTTTAGAAGAAAAGATCTGAAATCCCAATGGGTCATTCCATCATTGTATTTCCAATCATATATCCAAAACTGTTTTTGTGGCACTTCAGACTTTGAGAAATGGTATTTTGGATAAAGGTAAAAAAAAAAAACTATCCCTATAACAGGCTATGAAAGTGCACAGGGCTGTAAGACGGCAAGGCTCCCACATTTTCTCTAGACAATAGGCTCACAGATGCCAGTACAGTTGTCAGTCTTATGAACCAGCCACCCTTTAGCCCCCAGGAAGATTTCTGGTACTCATTTCCGTTAGAGGCTGAGTTGACCTCAGGGCCATAGTGTGGCTGGAAGGGTAAGGTAAATTAAAAAAATCCACATCATCAGGACTTGAACCTGTACCCTTCTGGCTTGTAGCATAATGTCTCAACCAACTATGCTACCATGTGCTGTGCTGCAAGCAGATGAACAATGTTCTTGTAATATAAGGCAGGGATCATGGTGAAAACAAGACAAGACTGCCATTGGTTGAACCTGAATTACTGAGGCTGAAAAGGCAGTTCTGAGAGCTACAGGGTTCTGAGGATCAAGAATAGGAATATGAAGACAGAAAGATGAGCTCAAAGGTCAAAATAAATATGGAAATATGGGCCTTAAATGTACTAAAACGTCACTGGCCAGCTAGACACGTATTTCTAATTTAAATTAATTTTTCCAAAACTTGATGTTTTCCATCTTTGAAATTTTGTTAACTACAGAATCATTTGAGAAAGGGAACCGAAATTTTGCACACTGTGTGCGCGCGCGCGTCTGCGAACAAAACAGATCAGTATTACGGGCATAGTTTTAAAAATACGGAAGAAATAAGGGCAAAATAAAAGTTTCTTCTTCAATCATCACAAACGTTCTGTTACCACCACATTATTGATTTCGTTCATGTGATAACAGTCTGCTTTGTAAACAATAATGTTGGTTTTATGCTGCAATATTATCAATGTTGAACGATCACTGGTTTTAAGAAATAACTCCATCTAATACCATACACGCATTTTAAGTCGCTCCATACTGTCAAAATCAGGTTTAGTAAAACATTTCTCTAACGTAACTAATTTTTTATACATTAATGACCTCCTTACGAGGCACATTTCAATGTTCGTTTTACACGGGCAGAAATACTTCTTGCAAAATTTTAATTTAAACCACAAATCATTTATCTCCATTTTTATAACCACTCACGTAACAGTACCCTTAACGTTCACAAGTATGCATCCTTAAGTATATTCGTTAATGCTTTGTAGACATATTCAAATCGTAATATACCACACTTAAAAAAATGTATATATCCTTTAACTTACTGGCAGTACTCGGGGAATTTCTACACTGCATTTATGACAAAAAAATCTTGGAATTGGAGTATCTTGTACAGCAGCCTCGGCCATATCAGATTAATTTTACTCACTGCCACTTTGATATCACGGTCTGAGCGGTCACAGCCGTCAGATCTGATTACTACGTTTTCGTAGTTCAGTTTTCAACTGCTTTAGTTTATTGCGTCGTTTGTACGTTTATGCATATTCTCCAAGACTATGTGTAACACGTCTATTTAACCCAGTAATGTACACAACGTTACAGAAATGACGCAAACCCAAGACGCCCAAGACTGTTCAACTTAATAGTTGCCCGCTTGAACCGTGCCCGTTACCAACGCTACCAACGTTACCACGCTTACAATTCTCTTATTAAGAGTCAGGCGCGGTCGGTCGTGTCGTAATACAACAATGCGGTATCAAGGCTAAAGTAACTTAGCGATATATTTCGGCTAATCAGGCAAACACGATTACCATATTCACACACTACTGAACTGCAATTGCGATAGTGAAGCTGGATACTTGATAATTATTACATTATAAAATACATGGTATAAAACTAGAATGAACTATAAACTTATTATAAAAACGAAAGTTATAGCATAAAATAAGGTTAATAGCTCTTCATGTTATATTCCATATCAGGTCAGTTGCTGAAATTTTGTTATATTCCCGCGGACATAATGGTAGATTTTAAACCTGTATACATGTAATAACCTGCTAGGAGGCCTGTGGTATAGTTTTGACATTAATTGTTTAGCTGGTGCCTCATCTTACAACGTATTTTGTCTTCTGTAGAGACATAGCAGACAGCTCAAACAGGATAGTGACTATTCTATGAACTTGAATGGGTTTCAATTCCCAACAGAGCAAGAAAATCTCTCTTCTTCACAGAGTCAAGATTCACCATGGAGTCCATCCCACCTGCTCTCTTGTCCCCAGTGGCAAATTTTACTATTTTACCACTTCCCTACATGTCATACTGGTGTTAAGAATGCTCAGAACTATGCCTCTGCTTCCCCATAGCTTTTCAATTAAGCACAGGGGGAAACTTCACCTTTACTTCTAATAATTATAGGAGTTAATGACCCTGTCAGTATCATGACTATATTGTGTCAATTTGAATGTACTGAATTTAGTCTACGTAAATCAAACATGTCATTATTTACCTTGGTTCAGGACAAAGTCAGAATTGTTTTGGAGCTCTTCAATATCTCTGGATTCACGGCATTAACACAACTGCTGTGAATAGCCAAAATCTCCAAATCATTAATGACATTTAAAAATCTGCAGGCCACTGAATAACTTATTATAACTTGCTTTAAAAGATTATTATTGTTACTGTTATAATAATAATAATCTAGTTTTGTCTAAATGAAGTAAAATGTGATTTCTTGAAAATTGTTATTTTATAACCCTGTATTAGTTCTTGTTCATAGAATTAATACGATGGCAAAAAAAGATGGGAATGAATACAGAAGTTGTCATGGCCTATTTTATACGTGGAAGCGTAGTGGTTAAGGTACTATGCTACAAGTTGGAAGGTTGCAGGTTAAAGTCCAGATGAGGTCATTGGATTTTTTCAATTGGCCTAATCCTTCCAGCCGCACTAGGCCCTGGGGTTCACTCAGCCTCTTAACAGAAATGAGTACCAGGAATTAATTAAATAATTTTCCTGGGGAGTGAAGCACGGCCGGCGTGTAAGACGCCATCTTTGAGCCGATTGTCAAGGTAATGTGGGATCCTTAACATCTCACAACCCTATGGGCCTTCACGGCCTGTTACAGGGATAGCTTTACCTTTTACTTTTAACACCAGTGGTTCACTGTCTATTGCCATCATGCTGAAACCCTAAGAAAATTTTTGCATGGCCACCATGTTATTTTATGTGCTTTACCAAAAGTTTAATATTTTTTAAAGATCTATTACTATACATCATTTCAGAACCCTAAATTAATTGCTTTTGTCCCTCACAAGTTCATGCTTCTGCCACATTTTTATTATGAATGAATGCAAGAAATTATGAAAACAGAATAGCCACCGATGCTATAATATTCATACCAAGTTTCAGGAGTACTAATGAAATGCTTTGGAAACAGAACTGGGTGGACTCACAGCCACGCACACACAGATATAGCATGGTACCTCAGAAGCCTACTCCCCTCCTCAATGGAGGAAAGTAAGCTAAAAAGGATTAACCCCCCCCCCTCAATACTGTCTTCTGCCAGTTTCTATCTCATTGTGATATGAACAGAAAGAACAGGAAAATTTAGCAGAGAAGGCCACAAAAATAATCCAAACTTAAAATCTGATACTGGTAAATTGCAGATGATCACAAATGAATACAAACATTCATTGGAAGAAAGAAATAATATCTGATAGTTCACAGCCAAAATAAAATTGAAAGACCAACACAAAAGCAGCTGCAGGACTGCAAAAATCTGCTGACTACAAATCGTTCCTTAACAAAGCTGGTATACCACATCTGTATCCTTTTCCTGCTAATCATGTACTTGCGAATGTCAAAATGAATTCTGGGTGCACAGAGAACAGCCTGCCTCAAACAGCATCCAAGCTCTTTGTTAAGGAACCATTTCTGAGTATAATTTCTACATTATATTTTTATCCTTTTTTGTTTCACTGTTTGTTTTTTAAAGATATTAACTGTACCTTCAACCAGATCAACATCTGCATATGCTTCATTAAAAACAATAAAAATCAGCTTCTTACTGACCAACAAATACAACTTATGAACATGAGAACTTCTTTTACAAAACTTACAAGTACAGGAAAATCCAATTACAACTTACTGCTTATACTTTTTTTATAATTCCTGCAATCACTGTAGGTAAATAACACAACATATATGTAAGATGTGATTAACAGTTTCACATTATTAACTAACAAATCAAACGTGTCGAATATGGAAGTTAACAACATATTCTGCATTTGTTCTTTGAACACTGATAGCAAATGGATCAGTTGGGTGGAATGTGAAGGCAACAAGGCGTCGAGCTGAAGGAGGTGGACTCTTCCCAAGAACTCCTGCATAGATCTGAAACTTCAGTAATCCTGAATCACGCGCATAAAATCTGAGAAGAAAAATAAAACATAACAGAAATCAGCCCAACAGTTTTCAGTAATTTCACATGGTGCTGGTAACAATCTTAGAAATTTGTAAACTTACCTCTATTACAAAATAGGCTGTATGTTCTGAAATGCCTGTGAAATGTGAATTTGCATTATGTGAACTCAAGTTTTACAAAGAATAAGAACAAAGAAAACGAAACATTTCTTCTACTTCACACACCCTAAAAATACAGTCAGCCAAGGGACACTACATTTATTTGTTTTACGTTTTCCCCCAACTTCATCACAAATCGCATAATAATTCACAAGTCAGCTACTTTGACTGCACTTCTTCCTAATATCTGAACGGATTATATAACTTTCTGCATAACTAATCTGACACTGAATCAACAACTATCCTCCCACAAGTTCCAGCTCTATTTAGAGAAAGTATGACAGTCTATACTTCAGCCACTAAAAAGGTAAAGCTATCCCTGTACCAGGCTGTGAAGGCCCATAGGGACGTGAGACGTTGAGGATCCCACACTATCTAGACAATCGGCTCAAAGATGGCGATAAGACTGTCAGCCTTACGCACCGGCCGCGCTTTACTCCCCAGGAAAATTATTTTTAATTAATTCCTGGTACTCATTTCTGTTAGAGGCTGAGTAAACCCCAGGGCCTAGTGCGGCTGGAAGGATTAGGTCAACTGAAAAAATCCCAATGACCTCATCGGGACTTGAACCCACAACCTTCCAGCTTGTAGCATAGCCCCTCAACCACTACGCCACAGCGTATACTTAAGCCACTGGTTTTCCAAAATCTGCTAAAGGTTATTTATTGAAGAATTAGCATCATTTCCTTGCCTTTTGCCCAAGAATCTTAAGAGAGTTATAAAATGTTTTAGGTGTAACTNCAACCCTCTGCCTCCCTCCCGTCTGCGGTGATGTAACAGGCTAGTCAACACTCTGCCTCCTTACACCACGGTGACGTGTTGCTAGGCAAGCAGTAAACGTGACGTCACACAACAGGCAAGCCATGCAACGACTGTTGCTAGGAAATTGGTAAACACGATGGTACTAAACAGCGATACCTATTACGTAACTGTTTTCTGTGTTGTCCGTACTGAGGCTGAATAAGTAGCAGTTGAGTTTCAATGAAGCGATCACCGAGTTCAGTGATTATTGAGTATTGAGCGGGTTACTAGAGAGAGAGTAACCAGTCAATTGCTGTCTATCTTTTGCCAGAGTATTTGTGATACTGCCAATGGCAGTAATGTTGAGATTGTAAATTGTGTGATTGTAAGAGCAAGTGGAATAAATTCGCTATATCAAATAAGGTGTGAAGTTATGTGTCGCGTGACATATACCCAACACATGACAATATATATATAAATGACAAATATCCTGGAAGTGTGCAAGATTGTGCTATAAGAATGATATGCACAATATCCTGCCTCTTATTTTGTGTTAAAAACAGTAGAAGAAAAGGCAAACATTATGTAGGCATGGTACATTTCTGCAGAAAAAGCACAATTGGTTATCATCATGAAGCAGGTCCTGATACTTTCAAATTTATACCTGTAATAATTTGGCTCTTAAACTGTCCACAAGTAAATTCAGTCGAACACCACTGAATATAGCTTAATTTATGGTTACGCTTCAGTTAATGTTCAATTTCAGTGATCCAATTAAAGTTCTTCCATTTAAATTTTCCTGTTTTGTGTTCAAATCCACTGTTCGCAAAGAAAACCTTGATGGGGATTTTATTGTATAATGGGGAGACTGGGAATATCTACATAAAACACTGTCAGAGAAACTTAATTTTGGTCCAAACTCATCCAACATGACCTCTGCTTTACCTGAAGCTCTAACTGATCTTCACCATTTTTTTTAAAAAACTACATCACGTATAGAAGTATAAGATATAAACTATACATCTCACTATTACAGCTTCCATATGAAACATTTTTTGATATACTATTTAAAGAAATACATGTAAATATAATTTATGGTTCTTACACAATGTGTTTTTGTAGTGTGACTAGCTCTGCAACAATAAACCTGTATCCGGAATGGTCTGATGGAGCCTATACAATAACCACTATACAAAATACATTTCAAGAAAACTTCTATATCTAAATAAAATCTTAATTGTAGGTGTAGTGTACCTGATCGGATGCTCGCCACAAGCTTTCGGTCTCTCCATGACAGACACCCATTTGTCATCATAGCTGAACAGAGACAGGTCTAGATATGGAGAGCTACTGTAGGACTGGGCACTTATTGGTAGCTGTGCCAGCAACCTTTTTGTGGCTTCAGTTGGTCCTCCAAACCGAGCACTAACAATTGTTTGCTTGAAGCGCTGTTGTATCAGTCTGCAAGAAGTGGCATCACTTTCATTCTATGATCTGTAAACATGTGATGTCAGGGACATAAATATCTGGGGAGCAAGGAACAGGATGTGCAATATGGAGCCTATCCTACCCTACCTTCTTTTCAAGTAGTACTCCCAGTTTTTGCAGATCAGGCTCTGGCAACTAAGCCATGTTGGTATAATCCAAACATCGATGGACTAAAATGCAAACTTCTGTCTATGGCCTTAAAGATAACAATTTTGAATAATCTCAAGCTTGGGAAGAAAAATCTAGATGGAATTCAACAGACATTGAGGCTTAAATGGGTCAACACATCATCCAACTTCTTGAAAGCATGATGATGTAAATAAGCGCAGAAAATGATCAAGGATAAAGATAGGAAGCCTGAGCCTCTGCTTTAAATGTTTACATTTTACAATAGGGAACATCAGCTTCCTTTGTGACTAGTTTTTCTTGCACATAAAGCTGATTACTGGCATCAATTTAACAGCTGTAGATAGTGAACGAAAGATGATTGAGAATTGATGCCATAATACAACTGAAGTTCTGGGAAAAACTATTTGTCTGCTATCCTTTGATGTGGTATGGACAGCATAGAAAACATGTCAAACAATTCTTCTATTGTTTTGTGTGTGTATTTGTTGCTGTGGGAACATTTTCCAAGCCATTTGCTAGAAACAACACACACATAACAGAGCTGAGAAAAAAAAGCAACTGATTCTAAACAACCTTATACATTCAACACATTTCATTTTTAAATGCGTTTTATTTTTACAATTTTAGGTATCTGCATATTAGCAATCTCTCAAATGAATCTAGTACTTCTTTGTATATGTACAGGTACTGATGAAATTAACTGTACTGAAATAATGAAAATGCTTGTTTATTATGACACATGTATATATCCATTTTTTGACAACAAAGAAGTTGTAGGGTTCTATCTTCAGGGATATAACATGACATAAACTGGTAAAGTCTGCTTGATGCCAGCTTCACGCTAGTTTCTTGCTTCGCTCACTCTAAATTCAACTAAAATAAGTTACCAGATTTTATAAATCCATATTCCAGCTAACAGATNCGTGTCTCACGGTGTTGTCGCTTGCAGATTTACTTATACTTTTTCTTCAACCCTGAAGATGGGGGCGATACGTTCCTCCGAAACGTCGGTTAACACCACATATACACGGTGCCAAATCCCAGAAGACTGCTTTCTTCAGATCTTTTATTGTTTTTGACTATGGTACCAGATAATGATCACTCTATGCATCAGATGGTTGCCAAGCAAAAAATTAAAGACTGATTTATTAATCTGCATCAAGGGTTGGCAAGCAATGAATCAGTGGCAAATACAGATAGGACTGTACTATAAAACCAATTATACTCTGTCTATATTGGGAAGGAGAATGCATCATCAATAGTGGCATAGACCACTGTGTCATTAGAAAGTTACTAGATTCTATTCTTAGCATAACTGTGGTGCTCATACACCACATGGGAATTCAAACATACTTGCTTACAAGGGATTTTCCTTCCACAAGCCTGCCTACACAAGATATAACATACCCTGGTTCATGGACTTTACGCTGAAGAGAGAGAGATGAAAACAGAATACATCGGATCAAAGCATCTTATATTATGTGTAAACACACAGAAATAATACGGTAATTAAACTGTCAATTATAAAAACAAAACTGAAAATACTGTCAGGGGTTTGTGACCAGGCAGAGAGTTTGGACTGATAACTGAATTTATTCGGTACTTACTACTCTTAGCTACAGACAATTACAACATGTTCACTATTCTTCACAATCACAAAGAACTACGGCACATTTCAAGTCTTTCTGGTCTGCTATATCTTCATGTACCAACAGTGAGGCTTAAAAAAATCTATCCCATGTAACCACAGAGGCCCACAGGGGTGTGAGACCTTGAGGCTTCCACATTTTTCTAGACAATGGGCTCACAGATGGCAGGTGAGTGTCAGCCTTACGTGCTGAGCGGTCACACTTTACCCCCAAGATACTCATTTCTGTTAGAGGCTGAGTTGACCAGAAGGCCTAGTAAGGCTGGAAGAATTAAGTCAATTGATAAATCAAATGACCTTCTCAGAAACAAAATCTGATTCTGGCTTGTAGCATAGTGCCTCAACGAACTACTCTAGTGCTAGAACAATGAGGACTCTCTCTAATGCTTCCATGCTAGACAGCTCCTGGCTTTGGTATGGTAATTTAATGCTGGCCTTTGCCAGCACAATCATTCTTTGTTCTGAACCTCATCAGGACCTATGACCATTGCTTTCTGTCTAACAACTCTCAATGTTAGTGTGCTTCCACAGCCTGCAGCTATCCCAACAGGAATGTCCCTTTGGAGCTGAACATACATGCTACAGTTTGGTGTGTGGCCCCAGAACCTGGTTGCATTGCTTGGCTACCCACTGCCTACAGGGGCCCATCTAGCCATGCTGCAACCACTTTCCCACACCGAGTCACTACCACCCTGCTGCTTCTCATCATATAGGGGTATGAATGTGGTCGTACCCCAGGGCACCACAGTGGCACTTCATTGCTCAAATGTAGCACATACCACCACAAATTAACTGAAGCATTGTGGGTGCACAAGAAATCCAGCTCCGGGACAAACTCATCTGTGATTCTAGTGAAGAATGCCGAAGTCATCACTGGACACCACGCTAGGGCCAACTATACTAATGGTTCCTTCACGACATGGATTATCTCCCCTGATGCTATCTGCAGAACTTACGGCCTGATCAATTCTCTCTTGGGCAGTTAATTCTCCAGAGATGTCTGGCACACCCCAGTGTCAATGGTCATGGGACATCTGTCCCTCAGCATTTAGGCTGTCATCATCCTTCCTTGTCGACACACTGTGTGTAATAAGAAGGTGAGAGTGACGGCACCAGTGCCTTGTTCTTCAAGTCCTCTACTAATTTCTCAAGTCTTACTTGAGCTCCTTCCAGGAAGTCCTTCTGGAGGCATTCCTGTCAGCACTATCTCTGAGGATAGATTATGCCCCCAGTGCAGCATATAGGTTGCCCAGTCATGCAGCATTTGATCCCTGGTGACCGTGGTTCCAAGGGTACGCCATCCCTTAACACTCATGGCCACCCATGCTCCCTGGCTGCTACCTTCACAACCTCCAACCTCGAGGCCTGGCACAAGGCTCCATCCAGGGTCGTAACATAACTTTGACTCTGACTTTATTCTTACTTCTACATTCAAAGTAAAGATAATAAAGTCACCATTTGTAATAATATACATACATGCAGGACTCCAGAGATTTGCTTGCCCATTTGCCATAGACAATTCCTACTGAGTACATGCTGATATTCATTCTAAGTGCAGTAAAATTTACTAAATAATTCATCACATATAAATTTTAAACATCAGATTAAATAATTATTCCTTTCATTCCCTGATCTTAATTGGCAGTGATCCTATAAAATTGTGTGTACTGCATACTGCATGTGCAATTTGTTAAGTGGGCAGTAAATTTAACCCACATTCCTGCAGCCTATATATATCTCTCCCCATTCATACAAATTATTGGAAATATATTGCAGAACAACACAAAAATCCCAGAGAAAAATTTGAAACAATTTAATATGATTCAATACCAGAAACATATACAAATCAATGAATTACCTTGCATAAATATTATTTGATGGAGAACATGTGAATTGTGACTCTGAATGTAACTTTGCATTTCGAAATAAGTCACAAAAATGTTCAAACAGCTGTAGGAATTCTTCAGATGTATTTTCATAAACAGCCAAAACTTCAGTATTCAAGATGTTGTAAACAACAAAGAAGGATGACTGTGCATTTGGTTCTGATGCTTGCAATGTGACCACTTCTTCCCCTGCATACTTCACTAGCAGATGGTTCTCGTCCAACAACTGCATTTTCCACATCCGTAAAGATTTGAACTAAAAATATGGTTCACATGATTAGCTTTTCATTGTAACATGTATTATGGAGATCATTTTCAGGACAGTAACAAATCATAATAGTTGTGTAATTTCCTGAAATGAGATCTACATCATAATGTAAAAATTTTATGTTGGCAATAAGCAACTGGCAGCCCATCTAACTTCCCAGCAGACCTGTGGAATAATAACACAAATGGAAAATTAAAAATGCTAATATCTACAAACATCTGCATCACAGCGAAGTTGCAGTGCTACTCTGCTACACAAAATATTTACATAACTCCTCTCATTTATACCAATAATTCTAGTTAACTGAACATATAAAATAAAAACTAATTCAATAAATATAACTTTCATTGCTTTTATTTGGTTTGCGACTCAGATAAGCTTTCTAAATTTGTCCTCTTGTACCAGATGTTGATTACTGTTGGATTACATCTTAGTGAATTATCAGTACTGGCATTTTAATTTTGAAAAAAAAAATCTATCACAGAAATAATGCAGTACATTGTATGTTCTTAAAACTCATAATTACACCTAAAACACTGCAAAAGAAATTCAAAGTCATCCCTGTGCTCAAACAGCATTCTATTAGGACACTAGAGGAGGGGCAGAAGTGAAGTTCCTAATTTTGCGCTAGGTGGAGGTGAGTGGACACATGTGCTGGCTGCTGTACCACAAAGATGAGGTCTCTGATCATATAAGAGGTTGATCAGGACACAAAAAAAAATAATTTTTTACCTTGGCAGGAACTGAACCCCAACTCCGCACCATAGCCAATCACTATAGTCACTGACTCCTATAGCTCACTTGGTAATACTACTGACATACTGAATTCATTTTGCACACTTTCTGTTCAGTTCTACTGAACATTACCTGATCAAAGTGCTGGTAAAATTTCCGAAGTTCATATGGATCACCCGCTGTGTCAGATATGTGCTTTGCTCTTTTAAATAAGAACACAAGAAGTCTATGCTTCAGTGAATTGATTGTTGCATCCCTAAAAGGTCTGTATACATTAGATCCATTTCCCTGGGAAATTGCAGATGATAAAAGAAGGTCATCATCTTCATAGCAGAACCTACCAACTGTATGAACATTGATAAAAAATCCATCAATCAGCTGAAATATGTGGATAAGTTGGTGCTGAACAGATAGTACTGCTAAAGTATCCTTATACAGATATAAGCCTTGGTTATGTGAAAGATAGATTTTATCGACTTTAAATGTTCTTGTGTCACACAATCGTCCTTCCTGCAAATCCACCAAGTGTAAAGAATAATCCTCAAGTGGTGAGCGAGGATTAGGTGTTACAGCTTCATTATTAGTATATATCTCGTAAAAATGTGGTCGTAAGTCATCTGGAATGTATACTGCAGATCCTACAATGACATAACAACCATCATCGGTGAAAAGACTGCATTCTCTGTTGAGCTGCTTTCCGCTTTGAGCTACATTGACTGTATATTTCAGTTTGAAAAATCGTTCAAAAACCTTACTGCGTATATAATCACTCCTCTGATCACTCTCATTGCCAATGTATTCTCCTTTGCAACCATGCACTAAATCAGCTGCTGCAAATGAACCACGATATTCATAAATTTCAAGTGATGTCTGATCTGATGAGAAGGCTATGAAATGTCGACCATCTGGGCTGAACTTTCTCAGAAAACAGGGTGGCTTCTCAACGTCGACAATAGTGAAATTGGGGAATACATTCTGATGAAATTCCCGCGCAACATGAAAATGAGTACCAGGTTTGATAGCCCCATAAATCTCCCTCCTTATCATCTTGTTAACAATATTTTGCGGTGGGATTTGTCGAGGAGTCAGAGAATATTTACAGCTATCTTGAGACTGAGTTACATCCATCACTGATCATTATCACCAAAATTACATTCCGAGGATTACTCATGTTGATGTTTACAACCATTACCTAAAAAGAAAAAGCGATGATTACATAAAACAATATAAATCAGACATTATTCTACAAAATGCGTTAACAGTTATGATAAAATATAATTCACACTAACAGTTGGGTGTGAAACAACTGCTTACAAACTCCCACACCATTATTTCACAACCCTCCAGTACGCAGATTCAGAACTTCAGATTTTAGATTAAATCAACTCGCCACTTTCACAAAAGTACGCCTAAACATCACTGACATCACAGATTCAAATCATCATCGACTACGTTCAGAACTCTGGCCCTCTGGTCTGTGGTTCAGGGCCTACATCATCATCATCATCATCATCATCAGTAATCTGTCAAGACGACAGGTCCACATTCTATTCCAGTGGTCGGCGAACCGGGGTAAATTACCCCAAGTGGGGTAAAAATGAATTTCTTGGGGGTAATGAGGACTCAATAGACATAAATGAAGTTATATAAAAAACGCGTTCCTTGTTACGACAGAAATTTTTCTTCCGGCATACAACCATCCGTAACAACGGCTGCTACGGAAATTGTTTAAGAGTCCATCATGGCAGCGTGACATCATCACTAAACACTTCTATAGATAAACGCACCCAGCACGTTGTGGACGATAGCTTTAGTGCTGGCTCGGCAGCCAGCAGAAGCGCCCGTGTTGTATACGTTGTTTTGGCCTAGTCACCTATTGTTTTATCTTGTGCTCAAAAACTTCGACGATCAAGGTAAGATAGTGTCTTGTTAGCAAGGATTTACTATCAATAAATTCATTCATTCATTATATAATAAACAAGCGAAATGAAGTTTTTCATGAAACCGACGCACTATCATTTATGTGCAGTAGTAGCAGTTTGATCTTGTCACACTGAATCGGTAATTTCGTGTTATAGTACATGTGCAACTAACCGCCTGAGCTATGGCGCGGCCTCCAGTACTGACTTACACATATTGTATATGCGGAGGTTTCCTCCACATTACGCGTGTCCTCGTGTAACTATGAAACGCGTGTGCTGAAGGGTTAAAACTTTTTGAATCACTGTCTTTTTTTACCCCTCAGATGACATCAACTAGAAAACGAATATACCAGGAAGAGTTCCTCAATTATGGGTTTACACAAATAGAAGACAAAGGAATAATGAAACCACAGTGTGTTGTCTGTTTGAAAGTACTAACTGCAGAATTTTTCAAAAAGAGTCAGTTGAAGAAACACTTGAATAATTTGCACCCACACCTGTCCAAACCGCGGGAATACTTTGCAAATTTGGAAATGTCTGTCAAAAAAGAAGACTGAACAGCAACTTGAGAAGTACATTCGATCAACGTTCAGCATCAAAGGCCAGCTTTGAAGTGGCCTGGTTGATTGCCCGAAACAAGAAACCACATACTATTGGTGAGCAATTGGTTATACCAGCAGCTTTGAAAATGGCAGAAATTTTGTGTGGTCAGAAAGAAGCTGCGAAACTAAATTCAGTGCCCTTGTCTGCAAAAGTCGTGAAAGAAAGAATTTCTATTTTAGCAGAAAATGTGAGGGAACAAGTTATTTCTTCAATAAAAGGGAGTAAATGCTTTGCTATTCAGCTTGATGAAACTACAGATGTCAGTAGTAATTCGCAGCTGATGGTGTATGTTCGCTACAAAGGTTTACATGTAATTGAAGAGGAGTTGTTTTGTTCTCCCCTCGAATTGCGATCTCGTGGAATTGATGTCTTCAATAAAATTGAATACTTTAATAACGCTAATTTAAAGTGGGAAGACTGCATTGCTTTGTCTGTTGATGGAGCTCCAGCTATGTTGGGTCATATTAGTGGGTTTTCGGCTTTGGCGAGAGAGAAAATTCCAAAAATTGAAGTTAACCACTGTATGATCCATCGCCAGGCACTGCTTGTGAAACGTTTGGAACCTGCACTGGAAGCCGTCATGCATGATGTTATCAACGTTGTCAATGTCGTCAAAGGACATGCACTAAACACG